GATTTACACGTAACATGAGACACTCTGACAGTTTCGTGTTGGGGTCTGACGATGCGAAATTCCCTCGGGTGAAAATAGCCATTTACCCCCGACCGGCCCACGATCAGACGGCAACGCGTACGAGCAGTGTGTCTCCACGGCCGCATACGGGGGTCCCACGGCATAAGATTACAACACACACGGTAAAAAAAAAATTACGTGCGTGTGAAGGGTCACGAACACATCTGTGTTGTCCCCCACCTACAGTGGCCCAAAACCATAAATTCATAACGAGAAACCTTACCTTGGGTGTCTTCCACATCTTCTTGGTTGTCTTCGTCGTTTGGGAACAATAATTCGTCTTGTTCCATCGTGGTTTTGAGGGAAAACGTCGGAGAAATTTGACCTGTATGCGCCTGTTCCCTCTCCCCGTATCTGCAGTAAATAAATCGCATAGACTTCTTGTAGTACTGGTACCCGTTCTTGGCCTTCTGTGTTAAGAACCGGTAATCCGCGTTGTGACGTAGACCAGCGAAAGAGAAACCCCCTTTTGCATGGAGTTTAACACGTCACGTTTAATGAAGCGCACCGTGTTTTCCAACTTTCTTTTTTGAGTTTTCTGGGAATTTTACAACATGGGGGAAAACTTTGCCGGTATCCTTTTTCGTAACTTTAAACTGGTAAATTTTCTTTATCATTCAATGTTAACAGGTCAAGGTTAAAACTGAGGGGGGGAAATGACTGAAATGTTAATTTCTGACTTCGGAGCCTTATTAATAAAATGCTTTTACCGGTATGGGGCTGCGCATGGGAGCAAATAATGTTTTATCTTTAAAATCTCAATAGAGGATGGACATGAGGCGTGTTTTCTTTTCTTTTTAATTTATGTATTTTTAAATATTTTATAGACAGGGGCGAATGTACTAGGTGACATTTTGTCACAGCTATTTTGCCTGAGTGCCTTTTCGTTTGATTCACTTTATTTTTAATTATAGCTTCTGGAACTAACATGAACTGCAGGTTTAAATAGCGTATTTTGCGTATGCTGTGGACTTTTTGTGTGTGAACATGACATGCAAGCAATTAGCCGATCATTAAAACACATCTCCACCCCACCCACCTCCGTGCGCCCCCGCCTCCACTTAAAATTTGGAAAAAGACATAAACAATCAAATGACATAGTTATTACATTTATTCCGACTCCTTTAATTGGGTTTTAAAATCCAGTTTCTGCCCTGACTGACTTGAAAAAAAAGAAAAAAACATGCATCAGTATTCCCTTTTTTAGTCCATGAGGTTTTCAGTTTTCACCGCAGTGTTTTCAAAGTGTTTTTCAAGTTGTATGCCACTCTAAAATAAAATCTGATTAAAAAAAGGGCGAGTGCTTTTTTTTTCTCAAAACGTTGCCTGAAATTTTTGTTGCAAAATCAAGTCTTTACTTTTGTGATTACAAAATTAATATGATACAAGTGCGCTTTTTTAAGTGGTACTGTAAAAAAATTAACAAATAGAATGCAACACGTTCACATTAACGAGACGATTTGGGGGGGGGGGGGGGAATGGACCGATCCAGTAAGCACCACCTAATGGTAAGCTGACCAATCACAGTCGTGATTTATGTCCGACGTGCGTGCACTAAAGTCCGATATGCGTGCACGCGCGCGCGTATGATGCGCGCGGAAGTTTGGAGAGCTAGAGGAGCACGTGTTAATTTGTCCACGTGCGCACTGGGCGGAGCTTACTGGATCGGTCCATTGTCTTGTATTTCTTATCGTCACGACCTGCATTCGGATTGTCCATCCAACGCATACAGTTCTAGTGTGCGCCGCGACTAAAACACGCCGTAAATCGGCTCTACCGCCCCCATCAGCGTGTTACACCTACCCGCTGAGTTCAGAAGCTGTTAAGCAAATTTCATTTTTACTTAGTTATCGGGTGATAATACAAATAGGCTTATCATCTGTTTGAAGAAGAAAAAACATAAGCATTAACTTGAAACATGAATAATGTAAACATTTTAAATAAAACTGCCATTGACTGCATTCGATTTGGACATAAAAATATTTTACAACTGCTTGAAAAATGAAGAAAAAGGCGAACAATGAAAAAATAATGGAACTTGTGAGATGTAATAAGAATGAGTGGTTGTTCTTGTTTGTGACTAGAGCAGTGACTTTAGGGCAGTTTTAGATGTTAAAAAAAAATATAGGTCAAAGAATTTCAATTGGTGCGTTCATCTTTCCGTGACTGTTTTACAAAATTAAAAAATTTGTAAGAATTAATTTTAAAAAATGAAATTTGGGGGAAATGTTGGGAAATTTACATTCCAGTAGGGAATTATAGAAATTCAACGGGGTGCGTTGATTATTTCGGACGCATTGTTCTTCGGTGGTTTACGCTAAACCCTTCAGTTGTCATTGATATTAATAAGGGAATAAATGTGTGCTCCGGAGGCGAGGGTAATTATCAGCACCCAGACTCTAAGCGGTATTAAACAGAGTGATAAATACCGACCGAGCACATATTTATTCCCATTCATAAATACCTTTTCGGTAAAAAAATATCAAATAATTCGTTCAAAAAATCCCGATTTTGTTCAACAAGTTCACTTCATGCTTTTTGAAACATCCCTCTAGCAAAGTAATGGATTGTTCAGCTGGCGAGTAAGATGTAAACAACCCTTTTATGGAGATTGACGCGCGCGTAGCATGTTCTGCGCGATGTCGCGCAGAACGCCGCGCACCTGGGGCGTTGCGTTTTGAATTTAGAACTATACAATTCTGACTCGCTGGTAGTGTTGCGCATGCCTACGTGAGGATTGTGAACGTTCAACCAATGAAACGGTAAGAGGCACTGGATTTTTAGGAGTCCACATTTTATTGTGACACTGGAAAAGTGTTTAAGACCAGCTAGCCATGTCTTTATCATCCGTTTAAGACCGGCCATGTGACGGGCTCTCGACCAATAGGAATGCGTAAACTGTCTTAGTTATTTATGAATTCTGTTCAACAGACGATTAAAAAAAATGGTCCTGACGAACTCACACGTACACCAACCGGCCTCACGTGTATATAGTTATTTGGGGATCACTTTTTTGGACAGTGACATCCTGCGCAACGGAGTTCTTCCCCGGCCCCGAAGCAACGGACTCCACATCCATCAGTACGCGCGAAATCAAATCATCTTGCTGGTATACTTTGTGCATTAGTAAACCTATCTCTTAATCCAATCTTCGGGTGATATTATTTTGGGGAGATTTGATCATGGTCCAATTTTTGTCGCTCAAAAGCGACGGTTATGTATACAGGAAGACTCACCGCCGATGTAATTGTACGAGAGGGAGAGTGTTCTTTTTCAGTAAGGGGAATGATTTTGAAGTTACCTAAATGGGGGCGGATCCAGGTTGGGGACCGGGAACAATAGCGGATCTAAAAAACAAAAACAAAAAACAACGGACCACAAAAAAATAGAGGAAATCATTCAGAAATAAAACACAATAAATGTCTGCTAACTCCTCTTGGACGTTAAAATCCCTTCTTGATCCCAACCTGAATCCTGCTTTCGGGGAAATCCGCCCCTTCCCGCCCCCTTCCCCGCCAGCCCTTCTTCTCTCGATACCAAATCTCACGATTAATAGCCGGACAACTTTGAAAGCTGGCATGCATACAATATGACCATGCAGGCAGCCCCCCCCCCCCCCCCACCCACCCATCCACGGTCCCATCCCCGTTCTATACCACTCCTGAACTGTCTTGTTCGCTAAACAATACTTCGACGCCAACAAATGTAAAGGACATGCTTTTCTTTTTTTTCTTCGGAAGAAATTGTGAATGGCATGCAACGGTTGAGATTTATTTTATCAAAAATTATTTATTCATCAATGTCACTGCGTTACCCCCTTGCAGGTGTTTACTTCAATTGCACCAAGTTTGTCATTTTATTTTAATCAAACCGTCCTGTCCTTTTCTTTACCCCTACATAGTACATGTACATGTACATACATGTAGTTGGATTTTTGAGTAAGCATTTCAATAAGTCACTTGCATGAGTTTCTTGCGCAGTTTTCGAGACGACCGGTTTCTACTTTCTACTTCTCACATTGAATCCGAGCAAATGATCGCAACAGTTTATTTTATTGCAAATAGTGTGTGGATGGGTGTAAACGGGACGCCCTGTGTGCTAATAATGCAAGTGAACTTTCATGTGTACGGTGTAACTATGCCAAGAAAACCGGCTCGAATACAGCTTTACGATGGGCCGGCACATTGCTCTGAACTTTTCAAATGTTAAAAATTATATTGCTACAAAAATTAACGGTATGAATGCTCTCCATATCCAACCACACGTCCCTAAAAGCCACACAACATTTAATCGCATGTTAGTGTACATTCAATCACACATTTAGCCCCAAACGTTGACAAATTGCAAAGGGGCCTCTTCTTCTCTATTCTACACCCGCCCCCGGCCCAAAACAAGTTGGGGAACCTCTAATATACTCCTTTTTAAAGCTTACAGTATGATATTTAGTTTAAAAGAAACATGTTTGCTCCTGCATTAATGTGACTTCACTTAGGCCAACCTTGAGATTTAAAAAAAAAACATACAAAATAGGCCCATCAAAGTGAAATTCGAGAAGTAGGTTTTGGGGAAGGTTTCCGTCAGACACCAGCAAACTATTTCTAGGAATGCTCACGTGGGGAAACCCCTCGCATGTCATTAAATACCGGTACTCAAAATGGTATGAATTTGAACAGATGTTTTTGGAACCATGTCTAGTCCTTCCTCCTCCATGTTCGAATTAAATGCAAAGTTGTATGGGGAAATTGTGGGGACGTAGCCTGCTTAGCTAGTTCGCAGACATTTACATTTTGGGTGTGCATTGGGTGTATGGCCTGTTCTCATTAAACAGTCTTTAATAAACTGCCAAAAACGCAGCCTATAAGTACTTTTCTGTCTGTGACCTAAAATTAACATACCGCCCTCTTGGGGCTAAACGTATCAGCTTCATTTAGCTGGTAATCGGCAACATGGATTTTCTCTCGATGAAGCCTGTGCGTAATGGCGATTTTTACGCCACGGTACCAGCAATTGTGAACTGACGCCACGACGTTGACCGTTTTTGCGGTAAGAATCACCAGACAAATTTCCTTAAAATTTCATAAAATACATTTGATTTTGAAAAGTTAACAGCTGAGAATTAACCGCTAGTATTCCTGGACTTTGGTGGTATGGATTTTGGTCACTGAAATAGCTCAGTTTGTGGATTATTTTGCAGCGATTGCGAGGGCGTAAATTGCAGATTTAGCCAAAGTACCTGTACACAACTCTACGTACGTGAACGCTGGATCCATAATGACCCCGTTTGGGGTATATTAATAACTGAACCCCAATAAGGTATAAATACTAGAACTACTGACTGCGCATAGGCTCAATAATAGTCAAATAATATACCCCGTTTCGAATTATGGTATCCTTATTAATCCTGTAGGCCGCAGCAAGGCCAGCATTATTGAATCGATTACCATTAAACTAGTCCGAGCATGGTCCAATTAACTAGTCAAATTAAACACATTTTGTTGAAAAATTGGCAGAAATTGTTTGTGCATGCAACATTATTTTCTACTAAATTTTTCTTAGAAATTGCTTCGCTTTCGCGCATCGCGTGAAGTTTGAACCAGGCTTTTTAGGCCTAGTAGTAGTATCACAGTCATTGACAATTTTTGAGAAATTTGCTGTTTCGCAGTTGAGGCCTGTTTTGAATTTTGTGTTGAAAAAAGAATTTTCCAAATTCCAATTGGCAATTCAGATTTTCCAATTTTAAAACAAACTTATTCTGATAAACTGACAATTTTGTCTTTAAATGGTTGAATGGACAAGAAAATGATTTCATTCTTTTGCATGAAATTGAAAAAGCCCAAGAATGAGAAATGTGCTCTTACCAGTACCACACAAATCATTATTTTTTTAATTCAAATATTTTGAGTTACAAATGTACTATTTAAAGGCATGTATTTTATTCAAATGTGACACTAGTTATAACTAGTAATACCTTCATTGACAGGCATTTACCCATAAAAGTGCAGTGTTTCTCTGTAGAAATAACAGTCATTGCAGCTGATAATACACAATCTGTCCTTTGTCTTGTCTTGTAAAATCTTTCAAAGGTCATTCTGTAGGTGGCGTAACTCTTAAAAGTCATGCATGTCATTTGTCAACTGGCAAAATATCCAAGCATCTCTCACAAGACATTTCCAAATACTAAAATAGTTGTAAAGTTTACATCAGTACTTTTAAACCACTTAAATTTGAAAACATAAACTTGCAGTGCCAAGTGACTGTGAAACCACAAGGTCCCATTTTTGTGCACAAGTGAGACATGGTCTTAATTTAAGTCTTTAATTAACTCCCGAGGCGTTTGTGCTAGGATGTAACCTCAATCCTGCAAAATCCTCCAACTGCCTCCATGTGAAAATTGCATAAAGCTTCAATCCTGCAGAACCCTCCAGCAATCACTGTCAATAAGCTGGGGCCGAGTCAGTGACATCCTGGAGCAGTATGGAAGATTTCAAATATTATATAGGCCTAAATTTATGCACGGCTCTGCATAAACAACACAAAGTCCGGGCTTAGACCTTGACACAGTGCATCCTCTAAAATCAGCCACACTGTTGCCATATATGTACAGCCTCAATCCTGCAAAATCTTCCATTTTGTAGAGGGGATTTGAGAAGGTTAGGGTTAATTCATGGAATTCATATTAAAATGAATGCTATTTAAGTGCTGTTTCCCAAAAACTTATCAACGAAACTATTTCTCTTATTTTCTGCAGATTACACCTAGTGTCAATAAGCAGCTTTGCTTTGGACACACTGCACGGTGAGCAAGATGGAAGACACGGATGGTATTGCGCCATCCCTTTTTCCAGTGTCTGTGACGAAGGACAGTGGGCCTGGTCCACAGACAACTAGTGGGGATCTGACAATTGAGGGCGCTGTCACCACTGTTGGGGATGTGATAGTAGCAGATGCCACTGGTGGAGATCTGACAGCAGAGGGCGCTGTGATAGTACAGGGCATCATGACTGACAGTGGATTCATGTCTTCCGAGCTAGCATTGCAGATTAGTCAGGCAGGGGGGCAAGTCGTTGCCGCTACTGAGACCCTGACCACCGATTCCCAGCCCATGATAGTGCACAGTGCTGTGCTGGGTACCAGCTCTGAGGTCATGGCGCCAGACAACCAATTGGCAGAGACCATCGTGCAAGATCTACCAGGGGACAACGTAACCAGTGCAACTGCAGAGGGCCCAAACGTGCAGGAAGAAGATGGTTTCCAACAAGAGGGTGTGGTCAGCCAAGACACAGTGGAGGGAGGTAAGGAATATTGCCAGACGAGTTAAGAAAAGTGCCGTGAAAAACAGACTCCTTTAGACTGTAGATATCACTTTATGTACTAGGGCTGTGTCGAATATACTGAATATCAGAGTATTCAGTCATCCACCACATATCCTAAAAGAATTTCCAAAACAGAATATTCACAAAAGGTGAGCTGTTTCCAAAAATGACCCAAAAAAGCCCATGGTGTTAATTTATTCTCTTTTGTTTGTTAAATGCCACATTTTTGTGGACAGCCTGAAACGCATGATTTGAGAGCTTCAAAGGAATATCGACCATTATTTCCATTTTTCAGCTAGTAAGCTAATCTCTGAGAAAAAAATTCTGATACGTGATGATTATAAAAAAAAAAAATGTACCTCAATGTCGATGGTCAAATATTCAAAATAGAATTCATAGCACATGTGTTGACCACTGATTATGGCCAATGAGGGACCAACGTTGTCAAACCTCAGAAAATATGCTTTTTCTTTTGGGGTAAAGCTCATAAATTGCAAGGGAGATTTTAATATTTTAAATTCAAATTCTAATCTGTTCAGGGATGAGCAAATGAATATGAATTAAAGTAGGAATTCTTTTCTCTTTCTTTCCATTTCAAAATTGCAGGTGTTCGGGTAGACAGTGCCCCTGACCAGATACAATCACATGGTGTGAGTGACGGGGATGAGGTCTTAAACGAGGTCCATCAGATACCAGACGATAAATTACTAATGTTCGTGCAGGAAGACACAAATGTCGTCATGGAAGCACAAGATAAGGCTGCTGAAGATGACAGTTTCCCTGAGGCTCCACCTAAGCAAGAGACAGAGCCAGGAAACAAGGATGTGAGCCAAGGAACGAAGGAAGTCATCTTTGTTTGCATTCATGGCCAGTCTTTCCGATGTAAGCCCCAAGCTGGCATCCCAGTGGGAGACCCCGTCATGGAGGTTCCGGAAGACAGCTGTGCTTGCAGTAAGATCAAGAAGTCCCAGGCAGCATCCAAGAAGCCTCCCCGATTGGCAGTGGTCAAAGGCGGCAAGCTGGCCCGCAAACTCCGCAACAGGAAACAACTCTACACCTGCGACATGTGCGAGAGCAGGTTCAGCAACAAGGGAGCCTTAGACCTTCACATGGCTGCTCACGCAGAGGACAATGAGGAGGATAAAGAAAGTGAAGAGGAAATGGAGACGATTCAAGAAACAACCGGGAAAAAGTCCAAGGAGGTAGCAACACCAGGGAAAGCCCAGCAACAGAAACAGACACAGCAAGCAAAAACCTGCCCAGATTGCGGAAAGGTATTCTCCAGGCTTTCTGCTCTAGCTGCTCACAAGCGACAGCATAAGAAGAAAACCCTGAAAAAGGATGGGGAGAATTCCAGCAAACAAGAGGACAAGACCAAAAGCCTGACATGTACTGTGTGCCAGAAGTTGTTTACCCGGTTGTACGATGTCGAACGTCACATGGAGACACACGTGGACAGCGACCGAAGAAAATGCACCTGGTGCAGCAAAACGTTCCACACTATCAAGAGCAAGGAGCGACATGAGAACCTGCACTGTAAACAAAACAAGCAGAACAAGTGCAGCACCTGCGATTTGGTCCTGAGCAGTAAATTCAAGCTGCTTCGGCACGAACGGGAGCACCTCACCTCTGATCAGATTAAAAGTCTGTCCTGTAAAATTTGCATGAAGGCCTTCACAAATCTGCGGAGCCTGATGCGACACGAAAGGCTGCATTACAGAGAGAAGGGGACTCTCATAAATTGCAACCACTGCCCCGAGACATTCGAAGATAGGTTCTCCTACAATGCCCACTTGAAGACCCATGACGTGAGAATCTATCAGTGTGACTTATGTGGCATGAAGTTCAAGCATGAGTACCTTCTGAAGGTCCACATTAAGCGCATGACCTGCCAGAAGACGCGGGAGAGCCTGCGTGACGTCCAGTGCAGCATCTGTCAGAAGACAGTCAAGGGAACAGCCACGCTGAAGCGTCACATGCGCACCCACACCAAAGAGAAACCCTACCCCTGCCGCATTGGCTGCAATTCTTCCTTCTCTAGCACCAGCAATCGCCTGAGCCATGAGCGCATGTACTGCAAACTGAGCCCCGATTACCTCTGCACCCATTGTGGGGAGGTGTTATCCAACCAGGCTAGGTTGATCTACCATGAGAGCAAATACCACGGCGTTGGTCCACTTGTACGTGGCCAACGGATATCAAATGCCGAATACCCCTGTCGACACTGTGGCAAGGTTTTCTTCTTCAAAGGAGGACGCAAACGCCACGAGCGCATCCACCTTGACGAGAAGCCTTACATGTGTCAGTTTTGCCCCAAGGCCTTCGTGCATGCCAGCGCCCTCGTCTGTCACGAACGTGTCCACACCAAAGAGCGACCTTACATTTGCGACGAGTGTGGCAAGGCCTTCTCCCAAGCCACCCACTTGAAGACCCACATACGCGTCCACACCAAAGAAAAGCCGTACCAGTGCCGCTTCTGCGACAAGGCCTTCTCTCACATGGGCACCAGGAAGAGCCATGAGGGGACCCACAAAAACACCCGGGAACCCCAAGCACAAACAAGTGTGCATGTACCTCAAGAACAGGTGGCAGCTATCCAGATGACCCCTCAGGAGCATCACGTGGTGATACATCCAGAGATGAAGGTCATCCATCACGAGACTGTTGGCGAGGAGCCAGTACAGCACAAGATTCATGTCAGTCATCATGAACACGAGGTGCAAGCTGCTGACGTCATCTTGCAGTTGCTCGAGAGTGGGAGTAGAGTATCAAACTTTGAAGGACTGGTACACATAGCTTCATCCTAATCACTGCACATCTGTAAAATGACAATTTGTGGTTTTCATATGGTACAGAGGGCATCTCTTTAACTTGGTAAGCCGCAACTGTCCTAAATTCATTCAAATCTGCCTCAGGTTTAGAGTACATTTATTTAAATGGATTCTAGGCTTCTCAACGTAAGGCCAAACGAAAAAAAATTCTGCTTCCGGTTACCTGACCTACCCTATTAATTGACCTGCCCTTCAGACATGGTGTTTTTTTACACTAGGTTTTGTTTGTCTCTGATTTTGCGCGTTCCGCATCCATTTGTATATCATGTGATTGGACAATATTTCACAAGCTGCGTTGACGCGGTTCTAACACGATTTTACAGTGATTGGTCAATATTTTGTGATCCTCAACTTTATCGGCAAGTTAAACAATCATGTTGTATTTTCTGTCTTCACAAAAAGGCTTATCAACAACCTTTTTGCATCAAAAACGCTTGTATATTTCAAGCAGGGTTCGACCTTAGCGGTGGTCCGCTGGCCAAATGCCAGTTGAATTGCCGGCGGACCAGCTGAAACACCTTGCCAAGTGGTCCGGCTGGCCAGCCAAAAAAATCTGCGTCAAAAAATGCTTGTTGTATTTATTTGGTTTCTTACTTATATTCGCTATTTTTTTCAAAAGAAACCACCGTTATTTTTACAAATTCGCTTCGCGATATGACTACTTCGCAACTCGATGTCACGGTGACTATAATCATGTGCGTAAACCCAGCTCAATGCGGCGATGACTGGTTCCCGCCGCGCCAATTTAGAAGACACGATGAAAATGCGGTAACTAGTCTGTGCACGGCTATGCGATCGATTACTCCTAGAACTATGGAGGCTCCACATAGTGGAGCCTCATAGATTAAGAACCCCGCAAAATTGTTTTCAGCACAAAACACTAATTAAGTACAAAAACGTCCATCAAAATGCAGAAATTTCCCACAGAACCGCTCCACAGTTTGCCCCCAAACTCCGTACCACACCTCATGACATACTCACAAAATATGCACAGAACAAACATCGCTGGATTTTGTCTTTTTGTGGGGCTAAAATGATGAAAAATATGCCCTTTCCGCACTGAGCCAACCTGACACTTGAAACATGCACGATGATTTTCGGTTCGCTCGGAGCGCGCCGCGGGGGGTACGGTACAAGCACTTGTACGCATGCGCATACTATCATTTCGCTTGTACCGTACCCCCCGCGGCGCGCTCCGAGCGAACCGAAAATCATCGCTCGATCATAATTATGCGTGCACGTTTCAAGTGTCAGGTTGGCTCAGTGCGGAAAGGGCATATTTTTCATCATTTTAGCCCCAAAAAAGACAAAATCCAGCGATGTTTGTTCTGCGCATATTTTGTGAGTATGTCATGAGGTGTAGTACGGAGTTTGGGGGCAAACTGTGCAGCGGTTCTGTTGGAAATTTCTGCATATTGATGGACGTTTTTGTACTTGATTAGTGTTTTGTGCTGAAAACAATTTTGCGGGGTTCTTAATCTATGAGGCTCCACTACGTGGAGCCTCATACTTTAGTTCTAGGAGTAGCGATCGATAGCGCTAGCATGGCTATGCATTGTGCAGGCGCCCTGTCAACTGGTCGGATTCGACATCGTAAAAATGCCAAGAAAACACCGATGGAGAAAGAATATTTTTGCAATTAATTTACAGAATTGATCTAGCTTATCTGTGTATGTATTTTCTGTGTTCAAGAGTTCATTTTGAGATCGCACTACTCGTATTTGGAGTGATACATGCCGCGTGTTTCCCGAAATTTTTGACGGTAAAAACGGGTCTGTCGGCCCATGGTGGGCCGCTCGCCACACACGCACGCATCACACACCTCGGAGTTTCGGCCAGCTCCCCGCGTCTTGACTAGCGTTGTGCATATGGTGCGAACGACCTGAATTTTCCATTATTTTTTGAAATTATCGAACGTAAATATATTGACAAAAGTTAAAGGTAGGTTTTATTCACTTTTTGTTGCCATTTCGTGTATAGCTTTCGTAGTGCAATGAAACTAGTTCATGCTAAAACTTCGCATATAATTGAATACCCCATTCAATCTGCATAAAAAATTGGCAAAAAAAAAGAAGAATTTCCGACCGACCGACCCTATTTTTGAAAGGCATGTAAACGGAAGCAGAACTATTTTTTGGCCTAATTAAAGTAGGTTTTATTCACTTTTTGTGGCCATCTTTTTGTGTATAGCTTTCATAGTGCAATGAAAATAAAATCAGGCTAAAACTTCGCATACTGAGGCCTAATTGAATACCCCATTCAAGCGGCATAAAAAAAAATGGCCCAAAAAACCCCAAAAATCCGACCGACCGACCCTATTTTTAAAAGGCATGTAATCTGAGGCAGAACTATTTTTTTTTTGCGGCCTCAGATCATGGAGGAAGAAAATAGACCTCTATTGCTCAGGTGACATGATGACATGGGTGTTGATGACTATAGTCTTGTTATGACTTATGTGAAACTGATTAACTGGTGGGTACACGCTGTATATGACGGACCAGTCAAAAACCTGGCGGACCAGTCAAAATTCTAGCCAACTGGTCCGGCTGGCCAGTCAAAAAAAAAATTAAGGGCAACCCCTGTCAAGGTTCCGCTGCTCGGACATGAAACACTACAGTGCGGCCAGTGTTGGCCAGCGCATGACGTCGTGCATATAGTGGTATGTGCGACTTAAATTCTCCGTTTCTTTTTATAAAATCATCGACCTGAAATATATTTTTACCTTAATTGAGGCACAGTTATATCACTCTTTAGGGTCTTTTTCAATAGCTTTCGTAGCACAAATGAAAACGATTCAGACCCGAAATACACATGATTGAAAACTCCATAAAACTCCATAAAAAAAAAAAAAATTTGAACCTACCAACCCTATTTTTGAAAGGCATGCAAGCGGAAGCAGATTTTGGTGGTTTTTTTTTTGGCCAAACCACCATCTCTTAGCATGGGGCTTGAAGTTGATTCCCAACTTTTGTTGAGTGAAAAGTAGTTCCGGCCAGTGTTTGATTTTGTTATAAGATTCAAGAAAGTTGTTTTAAAGCACTTTACCACAAGAGTGGGTAATAATAGATAAATAGATAATAAAAGTACATGAAGGTGTAAATAATTATTTTGTACCCATACATATATGTGTGCTATGAAATCCAGTTAAAGTCACTGGCCGCTGTCTTTGTGATGCTGGATGTAGAACAGTAATTTCTTTGTGGGATTTTTTTTTGGAAATAATGCGGGAGCAGTTACACTGAGTGATCCCAATTTTTTTGCTGAAAAAAAAAACCACAATGAGAAACTTAATACATGTAGGTAAATTGAATAAAATCATTTTTCCTTATGGATATTAAAGGGCCCATGATAAGTAATTTTTTAATGCAAACCTTGAAAATACACCCTTGTGTCCCATTTTTTTTTTCATTTTGCCATTTCCAAGGGTAATTTGGTGCCTTTTTTTTGGTTTTTATTCAAAATACAAATTTCCATATGCATGAGCAAAAGTATGATGTTATTTCCGGTAGAAACCCCAATCTTAAAACTGGTTATGCATGAACTGCACCAAAATTGTTGATATCTTGCTGTGGTAAATTTCCAACAGCGCCCTCAGTTGTCCAGAAAAAATATGGAAAATTGTACTTCATTGTTGACGACATAAATTTGGCCTTGCTCTTGCTTTCGTGTGAATTTGGTTTAATTCCAATATTAAATTTACTTTACCCTGACGCACATTCCATCTTATTGGACTATTTTTTCCTGGACAAATTTTCAATTTGCATGTTATATTTAAACAGAAAAGCCAACTTTTTTCCATTTTGGACATTTTCAACCATCCGAAAATAAGCTTTTATTGTGAGTTGCCTTTACACCCATAACACACAAAAGATGACACTGAATTATTGTTGGACTGTATACATGTAATTTGAAAGTTGTAAGATAAATATTTCATAACTAAATGTGACAGTCTTTTAGTTTGATGTCTCATTCAACGTGAATAACTTTTGTATTGTTAGGAAAAAAAATAGCAATTTAAAACCAAAATCTCGTTTTTACAGGAAGAAGCTACAAATTAGCTCAGGAAAGACAACCTCAGTGCTTCAATTTCAAATACATGTAGGGGGGGGGGGGAGATATTGGCGATTTCAAAATCAGTCCGATATAAAAGTTATCTGATTTCAATGGAAATTCCCATTCAACTCACAGTCATGCCAACAAAAAGTAACGAGCGAGGTGCACATGAAATGCCCTCCCAATTTGCTCTTTTCACACTTCAGCCATGGGCTTGCAGAGCCTTGATCTGGCAACTTTGCGCATTGAATATAGCCGGTTCAGTGATTCCTGTGTTGGGGTTCAGATCACTGAACCGGCTTTTTTTTATTGTGTAAATTTGCCAGGCGCGGAGTGTGAAAAGAGGGAATGACTGGGTATAGTTTGCAGGATTCAAATGACTGGGCCTTTACAAAAAAACTTCAGGGCCCAATTTCATAGCGCTGCTTAACAGCCGACTTTCTGCTTACCGAGCCTCCATCTATTTCATAGGAACCATGAAGCAGTAAGCACAGCAAAAGCATGCTTGACCCCTGAAGAAAACCTTGCTTAAATCAATGACGTAACAATAGAAATCTCCATGCGCGCAACCATTAGCATGAAATAGTGCTTAGGCAACAACATGATTTTCTGCTATAGTAAGCACAACTTTTCTGCTTACTGTTAAGCAGTTCTATGAAATTGGACCTAGAGCTGTAATGTTGAAAAGTGAGTAGCAAATTGGGGGATGTTCAGTTGTTTTCTTTAGCCTGTGTCAAAAACTGGAAGGCTTCATTTGATTTTTTAAAGGTTGGTTTGTTAACGTTGGTCAAATCAAATTGTAAGAAATCTGATTTTACAATCCCAGCACTAATTTCAAACATTTTAAAATTTGTGGGCAGGAAAATTATTTTCTGCAAAGTTGATGACGTCATTCAAGCATATGAATACTTTGTATTAAATTGTAAATACACCGTACTGTTTATTGCAAGTGGATTGATTGTGCTAATAAGTCTGTAAATTGAATCCTGTTTGTTCAGTAAACGTCCATAAAACTTAAACTTCTAGATTAGTCAGTATGTACAAACGTTATGTATACATGCAGTGTATAAACAAATCAGTGTGAAGTACAATGTACATAATGCAATATTTTTTTTTGGCCAATTCATTAAAATTCATGTGCAGCAATAAAAAGAATAGCTGTAAATCTGCGTTAGCATTTTTGTAAAGTTCTAGTTTTACTGCAAGTTATTTTGAAGGATTCCTACAAATGTATCCAATTAATTCATGCTCCTCGGGTGTGTTACAAGTCAGTTTTTGTCTCCATCAAATGTTTTTCAAATAAAATGCGGATTCAGTTAACAAAGCTTGATTTTTGTAACTATTATAAATTAATGTTTCAGCAAGGTCATTTGATCGCCCCCTTCATTTGGGGGGAAAAAGGAAAAATGTTACCATTAAAAAATTTGCTGTAATTCCCTTACAGCAAAAATGTAAAAATGTCATGGTACTTTTTTTCAGATGGCTGAGGGCGCTGTTGCTGTGACACTGTTATGTGAAACAATGTAGGCAATTTATTTAGGTCGATGTACACAATACAAAACTAAAGTGTACATGGTTTCTCCTAGATTCGATTATGTGCTATTGGGTGAAGAAACAATAGAAAATTGACATGCTCCATATCCTCGTTACAATGCCCCCCCCCCCCTTTGGCTAAGCTGCTGCCTTAGATCCAGACCCCCCCCCCCCCACCCCTGGACTTTGACTTTTGGTGACTTGTCCCACATAAATTGGGGCCCTTTTTTCCCAGAAAAAACACCCAATTTTGAAAGAATGTAGTATTCAGATGCCACTTCTTTGTTTGTGTAAAAAGTCTATGGAGAGTTGAGTGCCTGTTCAAAGTATTTTCTATCTATTAAATGAAAAGATTCCTATCTTTTCAACATTATGGCAATGATTGACCTTCAATGAGATAATACGTATGTTATGATTGGAAAACGAAAGTGGTGTCAGGATGCAACATCTCCGCCCCCCCCCCCCCATTTTGCTAAAAACTAGTACTGCTTCCACCCCCCCCCCCCCCCCCCCCCCGACGACAAGTGCCCGCGTCCGCCCTCTTTATGGAAGTGATTTGGACGGGTACCAGTCGAACCGCGCCTTTCATTCTGACTCCACGGCCTCGCTTACAAAATTGAGCAGGGAACCAGTCGAATTCTGTTTAGTTATGTATCCTGTCCTTTCCGATAGTCGTGAGCGAACCATTTTTTGTGAACAGAATTTGTGGCTAATTTGCTGATTTTTATAATTTTTACCGGCAGACGGTACGTTTGTATGTCTGCAGAACTTGCCAGGAATCGACTCAGCTAGTTTTGCCCACTATTAAGGGTGAATTTTGCTGCAATTGCCGGCGAAATTTCGGTGAGTTGTTGAATTGTTGCAAACGTTTGTTGCACCACACAACCAGTCTACTAAAAACTGCGCCGTATTTGTAAAAGTTTATGCTGCATCCCCCAAACTTGTGCATGTGAAAAATGCACTTAATAACAATCATTTGACTTTCTTTTAAAAACGAGATTACTTTGTACTGTGTGATTCTATGACAAGGTACATGACTATCAATACTATCATATTCATAGATTTTGTAATATTGTTTTGGCCAGTACGGTGAACAAGACAGGCCATGGTCATGATGGTGGCCTAGTATTACAAAATTAATACAAGATGCAAGCCTAATTTAGGGGCGGATCCAGGCATTTTTGCATGGTCGGTCATTCGCCAAAAAAATTAATGACTGTTTTTTTTTGGGCACAATTGCAGAATACCCCGCCACTCAATCTATCCACCTCGTAGCCGGCTACGAGGTCACGGTTGATTGCCCTCAATAAACCTTCTCAGCGCTAGTTGTAATTGTATGTACTACGCGTTATGCCCCACTGCACTCTCACTCCGTATCCGCGTAGCCGCCAACAGGGTGGTTGGTTTGGACTTGGAATTTTTTCAGTAACTCCCATTCATTTTGTGTTGCTTCGTTCTCAAATAATGGACCCCCACTCAGTATCCGCGTAGCTGGCACGGAAGTTGAATTGTTTCTTTTCCAGTGATTCCAACGCGTAACCAGATATTTTAGAGGTGTTTATTATTTCTGAGTGGCGGGGTATTCTGCAATTACTCCGTTTTTTTTATCAAGAAACCTGACCTTACCTCCAAAATTCAATTTTTTTGGGGGGGGGGGAGGGGGGAAGGGTACCATACTTTCTATTGAGGCGCTGTACAAATCTGACGATTACTAATAGAGGTAGTATTATATTAGTACTACTAGCACTACAAAAAAGTGTACAAATGCCACCTAACCTACCTATTTGTCTACAGGCGGACATTATAACAATTTGACCATCTAACCCCCCCCCCCCCCCCCCCCCCCCCCGGATCCGCACCTGTAATTTGCGTAAATAAGAATGTTTACGATGTTTAAGGATGAATTTAAATGTTTGACATGAAAGGTACTAAAAAGTGCAAATTTTGTTCCCCAATTAGTGTGTGCCTTGTTAAAAGAATTATTGAAAGCATGCGACCTTAGCAGGGCATGCCTTTAGCACACCGTCAAATTTAGTTACATGTAGTCTTTTTTTGCAATCGGTGACACATCCATATTGGTTGTAAGCCAGAATGTTTGATTCCCTGACCTGACAATTCCCTGAAATTGTTCCGTTCATCTCAAGTGTGGTCAAGGAACCAGACTTACAAGAACATCATCTTTTTCTTGGTTTTTCCAGCATCTATGAACACAAAACTTTAAGCAGGTCAGTGTAACAATATTACTTGCTATAAATACTTACCTCCAAGTCCATCGATTTCTGCAAAGCGATAGCAAAAGCAAAGGTTGAATCGATTTACGTCTAAAAACTACTTGTTTAATTTCTTCATGCAGGACTTTTACATCAGACAACTTTGGCAGCAGGAATGGAGCCGGATCAAAGCTCCACCAGTATGGTGATGCAGAGTCTCACACAAGCATCTGAGATGGACATCTTTGAGATGGAAGGTCAGTCTATGGCTGACGAAAGAGACAGGCTATTGGAAGGCACTACAAGCGAGGCAGGAGATACTATAGTGGTCACAGCGGGTGAAGACGAGGTTGCTGTGGTTATGATGGGTGAAAGCGCAGATGCGGACTACCGGCACTCAATAGATCAAGCTGGAGATGTTGTCCCCTTGATGAGTTATAGTGACAATACCATGATTGATTCAACAGAAGCTGGCGATACCACAGTGGTTCCACCAAGTGAATCTGTGGATACCATGGTTCTGACAAGTGAAGCTGGTGATACCATGTTAGTTACAACAAATGAAGCTGGGGACACCGTACTTGTTCCAACAAGTGGAACTGGAGATACCATGGTTTTTGCAACAAGTGCTGCAATTGACCAAACACTGCTTCAACCCCTGGATCTCACTCTACCCATTCCAGGTAATACCCAAGTCTCATTGATCCCTCTTGGGTTTGCAAATTAGAATTTAAGGCTTAAACAGAACTGGGAAAACATCAGTTGGTGTTCCAAACTTTGTGAGGCCACAGGCCATAGTGGAGCAAAATGTACAAAAAAAGTGGTGATTTTATTTCGATTTCCAGATGTATTGATATTTATCTGGTCTTTGATATGTCTGTCTAGCACACATAGTTCAAATAAAATACACAAACAAAAGAGCATAGCCCTAACCTCCCCAACTCCATCAAAATCCATCCCCCGAATTTTGGTGGATTTTTGGGGACTCGGTCCTGCAGCCCCGATTTGACTAAACATTGATGGTGTATGATGGACTTGGACCTGGAGGCCTAAAGCAAAGTAATCAGTGGAAGCAGTGTGATTGATGCATTTTGGTGTAGGGAGTTAGGGTTAATAGGTATCATTCAAAGGCAAAGCAGGGTCATTCCATGTCATTTCAACGGGCCATGGCAACAAACGTCACAAATTGATGGAAAGGTTCCCTTAGTGGTACTAAATACGAGGTCGAAAGCTTTCCTTTGAGGTGTGAAGGTAGCACAAGGTTCAATGAACTTTGGCCAAAAAATGGGAATCTGACTGGTCCAGAATAAATTGCTGACTTTAAGGACCCATATCTTGAGATTGAAATACATTTGGAAGCTGAATTTTGATACATTGGTACAATTACTAAAGTAGAGCAGGAATATAGGAACATAATAACCATCAGGCCCATCCCATTAATTTTTTTTGGGGGGCCTCAAAAATAATCCATCATGCGCCCGGTGCATTTTTTATTTTCAAGTTTTGAACACCCCTAATCTTGGAACTTTGCATGAACATTTATTAGTTCAAATTTAATGTAATCTCTGACTACTAATACTGACATTTATGTGAAAGGAAGAGGAAATGTCTTACCCTATTCAGGTGACCCCCAATATGGGCCGGGGGGTGGGGGGAATCATTTATTAGGTTTTTATGGGAAAGGGTGCATCTTCAGGATTTATATTTTATCGAAAATAATTCTTTGGTATCTGGCATTTTCATGAAAAACCAAAGCAGCACCCCCCCCCCCTAAAAAACAGTCGGTATTCATAATGTTAGGACTTGGAGCCAGTTTGTTTGTAAAGTTGATCTGTGTTTTTTGCCCAAAACAAAACTCTGTTTTCCCGAGAGATTGCAGATTTCCAAAAAAGGAAGCTTTTTTTGTCGGAAAAAATTGGGGACAGGGGAAAGGATAATAAAGGATCTAGGCGTCTGAAAAACCGACCCTCTTGTTAATTTTATTCTCCAATATAACTTGCAGGTAAGGAGGTGGAAGATGGAACTACAGTGGATGCTGTTGAAGGAGGAAGAGCTGATGAAGGTCCAGCGGATATCATCAGTGAGACGCAGACTGGACACGACAGTGACAAGGAGCTGACAGATGGCCAACAAGGGCTCCATATCACCAATGTGGATGGTCGAGAAATCATCTTCATCTGCACGCATGGACAAACCTTCCGATGTAAACCCCAAGCTGGCACTCAGATCAGTGCCGCTGAGAAGGAACAAGTGATGGCTATAACTCCTTGCACTTGTAACAAGTCCAAGAAACCATCCCAAGGGCATGTACAGGTAGCCGTTCAGGAAAATGATTGGCCACTCCGCACCAGGAACCAAAAGTTCACCTGCAATAAATGCGGTGGAAGGTTCACTCAGAAGGCATCGCTCGACCGTCACATGACGGCGCATGAAAGTGACGAGGAGGGAGAGAAAGATACAACTGAAGCAGAGATGGATGAGGCTGATGCTCAGTCTAAGACAAATGCAGACCAACCGTCGAGAAAAACTAGGATGCAGTTGCGGGGAAGTAATACAAAAGCCCTTATCAATGAGTGCAAAGTTTGTGGGAAGGTCTTCTCCAGATTGAAGGATTTTGAGAGGCACGAGAAACGACACCAACAGTACAGTAAACAGAAAAAAACTGTTGGGTCAAAGACAAAAGCAGATGAAGCCATGTCAAAGAAGGAGTACAAGTGCAGCATTTGCGGGATGGTTCTGGAGAATAAGTACAAATTGGAACGTCACCGAGAGGAACATCTGCCGTCTCATCCGTCTGGAAGCCTGTCCTGCAAAGTCTGCTCCAAACTGTTCGTCCGGCCATTCAACTTGAAAAGGCATGAGAAGACACATGAGGAGAAGCACCAAGCCTCAAAACTGCCGAAATCGTTTGCATGCAAGGACTGCCCCAAACTGTTCACCCGCAAGGTTCACCTGCAGCGACATGAGCAGCTCCACGTCAAAGAGACAGGCATGGTGTTCAGTTGCACCCTCTGCACCGAGACTTTTGAGGACAAATTCTCCTACAAGAATCACAGCAAGACACACACCATGAAGAAGTACTACCGCGAGATGACATGTGAGGTGTGCCAGAAGGTTGTTAAGGGACCCATCACACTGAAGCGACACATGCGCACGCACACTAAAGAAAAGCCCTTCCCCTGCCGCATCGGCTGTGGTTCGTACTTCTCAAGCACAAGTTACCGTAGGAGCCATGAGCAATATCACTGCAGTGCGGGACCCGACCTCCTCTGCCCCTTCTGCGGGAAGGTCTTTGAAAACAAGGCTAGGCTGATCACACATGAGACACGAGAACACCGTGATGGTTTGGATGAAGAAGGCAGTGCACGCAAGAGGCACACGTACCCGTGCAGGCACTGTGGAAGGGTGTTCCGCTTCAGTGCCGTCCGCTCACGGCATGAGCGCATCCACACTAATGAGAAACCCTACATGTGCCAGTTTTGCCCGAAAGCCTTTTGCCACGCCAACTCCCTTCTCTGTCATGAGCGGGTCCACACCAAAGAACGACCCTACAAGTGCACAGTCTGTGGCAAGGCCTTCTCGCAGACCACCCACCTGACCACACACATGCGTGTCCACACTAAGGAGAAGCCCTACGAGTGCAGATACTGCAAACAGGCTTTCGCTCACCTGGGTACCCGTAAAAGCCATGAGAGGACCCACAAAGAGGCCCTGGAGCTCAAAGATATCCCTCAAGAAGACCCAAAGAGCCAGCACATCCTGGTCTCCAGATTCCAAGGTGTCTCCTACCAGAGCGCAGAGGAAAACCCAGTGATTCAAGACAGTACGATGCAGGCCAACATCTCCACTGGGAATCCGGAGGGGACGTACCAAGACATCGCAGATCCTGGACTGCAAGAAACTGACCACCAGGAGCTCCAGGGAGATCCTGGAGACATCCCGGATTCGGAGATGCAAGATGTCACCCACAGGATTATTCTCAGTCACCCGGAGCATGAGGTGCAAGCAGCCGACGTCATCCTGCAGTTGCTGCAGAGTGGTAACAGGATGGCTAACTTTGATGGGTTGGTGCATATTGTGCAGTCACAGCAACAGTAGTATTAACATTGTAGTCTAGTCCAACACAAGACTATCACAAGTCATTCAGTCCAGTGTCAAGGCAAAAAGCTGTTCAAGTATGTCTTGGCTAAGGCACTCCTGTTTTCGTGGTTTATCCCTCATTTATAATTAGAAGTGCTGTTAGGCCAAAAAAAAAAAAAAAGTCGGTCTCTGGTCAACGCGCGCGTAGATTTTAATCAATTGTCAATCCTTTTTTGCCAAAATTTTACGCGGTAGCTCCAACAGAAGCCTCTATTGCCGCACCTCCTCAAATTGTTGTACCAAGGGGCACCAAGGAATGGGAAATTGCACCAAGGCAAATGATCGAGAGCACCAAGGCAAATTATGGAGGACACCAATGTACATGAGGACACCAAAAAAATGCAAAAATAGTACCCCACCTTGTCTGTACATGTACAATCCAAGCTTTAAAAAAAAAAGAAGGAAAAAAAAGCCGCGTCGCCGCATCAATTCATGAACTTTGGTCTGACCAGAGACCGAGTATTTTTTTTGTTAGGCCTTAATACAAATCAGCTGGACTTTGCCAAAACGTTTTGTTACATCACAATTTTGTATTCAGGGAAGCGTCAGTCCATTCATTGTGCACATCAATGCATGGATGGGACCCAGGCTATCATTCACTATAACAAAACTTTGTGTTAAAACAGAGTTTGTATTGTACTTTGTGAATACATGATGATTTAAAGTAGAGCCTCTTTTCAACATTTGAGCATTAAAGGGCCCATGGGATTGTTTTTTTCCCCCAGGAACAGCTTGCTTCTCCTTTTAAATGTATCAACATTATTTCGCGTTCCTTTTACTTGTAAATTGTATTGAAAAGTGCACTTTCTTCACTTTCTGTGATGTCATACTAGGAAGACACTGTTCAATTTAGGCTTTTCTGTTCAAATTCTGATGAACCCAACAATTTGCTCCTCGAAAAAAATTGTGCGAAAAGGTTGCTTATTGGCAACATGGAATCATCAACGAAAAGAAACGGCAAAATATCCAACATCGTGGCACTGTTGATAAATTTAGAAATTTGCATTAATAGCACACAAACCGAAAAGTCACCAAAATACCCTTGCAAATAGCAAAATAAAAAATTAAAAATAAGGTCGTGATTGAACACAAAGGATTTTATCAATAAAAAATTACGTTGCATGGGCCCTATAATATATGCAGTTGGTTTACTTAAAAAAAAAAATTAAAAAAAATAAAAATTAGAAACCTCAAAATTTAAATTTCTTGGTTTATTATGTTATCTATTTTTTTTTTTATTAATTAACAGTTTATAAATACAATGTAGTTGGAATTGTGTTTTTATTGTATTTCGAATAATCGAAACGGAAAAAAGTGTATCTTTATATTCAGTTGATTGAATATATGTATTTGTATTTGGCATATTTGGGACAGCCCTAATTTATCCTTGTATATAGACTTATATTTAAAAGATAAATAGTAAAAACACAAGTTTGTATAAATTACTGTATTTTTGGTTTGGCGCATTGTGCAAGTAACAGGCATACATTCCAACATTTAAAATGATTTCTTTTCTTTCTTTTTTGGATAGAGGATTGACCAGATTTTCAGGTTCAAAGTTGCAACCTCATATTTACACAAATAGCCCCCCCCCCCACAAAAAAAAAAACAGTTTCCTGTCGTAAAATAAAACTGTATTTAAAAAGGAAATGTTTGTACTGTGTAAAGTGTAATTAATTTTTTTAAAGTTTTAACTTTTAACCCTCCATCATGTTCATGAATTTCGGTCTTTTTTTTATTCAGTTGTTGGGCATCTACGAGGAAAATACCCACAAGACTTTTAAGTTATTAGTCTTTAGGACGAATGTAAAAGAAAACAAGTTGTAAGATATGGGGACCAATATCACATCGGAAAGTTCTTTTAGAATTTGAGAAATTTAAAAAAAAATCTCAATAGTTCAAAAGTTTCACCCTAAAACACCTGTTTGAGTTTCACCTGCACTAAAGCACCAATCAGAGAAGCGAGAATAACCCACTTGATTTGCATGATAAAGCATTTGAAATATGATATTTGAGTCGCTACGCCCTAAATTGTTATCAAGGTCAGAGCCAAATTCTGCTAAATGCACATAAAAAATTGTCAGATTTATCAAAAATCTGCCAAATTCCCCAGATTTACTCGAAATGCACTATAAACACTTAAAATCACATGCAGAGTGGTACTTTTGCCTAAATTAAGGTTCAAATTACATTATAAATAATCTATAGTCTCATAAAGATGTGAAATTATCACGTAAATTTCGGGCAAAACGTCGATCTGGCCACAACGAAGTCCGTTTTCCAGTGAACCTCAGCACCTAGACCAGCCAACCTGTCCCTTTATGCAAGGGTTTGTTTGAAAGGATTGAAGCTTTTTTAAACAAATGTACCATTTTTTGTTCATATTTGCTGTTTTTCTGTCAAATAACCATTTTTGCAGAATTCTGCCAGAAATATGCCAAAATAATCCATTCTGTTTTTTTGTCAAACTCGTTAACAAAAATTCTGTCAAAGTTAGCCGAAAATCGGCTAAAACGGTCACCCTGATTCGAAATATGGGGGCGGCCATCCACCACTGATCTCTATATAAAGACTGGATAGCGGATATGCATACAACATTCACACAGTAGACTTTGCATATTGACCAATTCGCCCCCGGTCTCACGAAGATGGCCGCGTATATACAAACGTTCTACGCGTAAATACGCGCGCGTTGTATCAACAGTTGACGCGCATTTTGGTCACGTACACATATTATGATGTTCTAAAAGGGACACATTTCCGTAGTGATTATTATTTCAAAACGCCGAAAAAGTGATATTTGCGGCATTTTAGTAACCACGACATTAGAAAAACTGTAGTTAACCTTGGTCAGTGGTGGTGGTCAAAATATAAGTCAAGTGAACCGCGACGTTACAAAATAAATCATGCTGTCTATAAAAACGGCAACTTGTCCTTTGTAGATCACCAGCCGGTCTCACCAATATGGCGTCAAATTCGTACATTGTGCGGCTCTGTATTAGCTATCCAGTCTTTATATAGAGATCAGTGCCATCCACCCATCACTGCATGTGGTCTAAATATCTTTTATTAAAAATTCCAGAAAGAAAAGAAAAAACATTAAAAAAAAATCAAAGCTATCAAATGTAAATTTAATATGAGGTTTGCCCTTTACCAACAAAGTACATATAAAATATGTGTGCTCAGTGCGGCCCGAGAACATCGGGGGAAAAAAACATGTCAAGCGTGTGCTTCTGTGGAACTCGAACCCACGACCTCTTGGTTTACCGTGCTGACGTTATAACCACTCGACCACCGAGCTTACCCATTTCATGCAAATTTCAAGGCTGTTGACTCGAAAATTAGACAATAACAAACTTATGAGATTTTTCAAAAGTTGACATTTTATTTCTCCCTAGGAAATATAAAAAAAGACAGAATATTTCTGGGTTATACTTGCATTTTACGAAAACCATTTATTTGCAAATCACCTTGTGGAATGCCATTAAAGCTGTTTCATAAATGAAATCATAGCGTTGTTTATGCAAATCACTTCGCGGAAATTTTCAGTGACGAGGCAGCTATCTAGGCGCTTTCCAAAATAACTGGTTCGCGGCGCAAGATGCTTTTGATAATAGAGGGACAAGGGACCATGTGCTTTTTTCACGCATTCGGAGAGAAAGAAGATCGAGTAGAGAAGCAAGTAAGTTTACCCGGCATTTTTGGCCAAAAAAAACATAATAATTTCCCCTTTCCCCTTTTGAAGTGACTGTATTATAATTGTAGGGGCTAATTACTTCTGAATTTGGTGCAGTTGAAAACTGTTTAATTTTTGTTTAACTTTAAAAAGGGGAAAAACTGAGGTCTGACGTATATTAATTTTCAGGCAAATTTAGACAGCCGAGTCTTAACTAAAGTCAAGAAAAGAACTTGGATTTTTTCCCTTAAAGTGAATCTTTTGGGCAGTTTTGAATAATATGCCTATTGTTTCGGCTAAAAATGCAAACCTCAAAACAACAAACATCACCATAAGAATAAAAAAAAAATCTACCCCAAAGTAGGCAAAGTATGTTCTATTTTTATAAAAATAGCTGAGCGGAAGGCTACGAGCTGTGATTAGGCACTTTCCACAATCACTGGTTCGCGTTGTCCAATGCTTTCGAAATCGCAGCCAGGGACGCGGGACCAGGGACAATGTGTCTGCCAAACGAATTCGCACAGATTCATTAAAGACAATACGCGTTTATGAATTGGCGGCAAAATATAATAAGGCTAGCATTGCGCGTGTCTAGTTTGAGCGAAGATAATCTGGAGGTGACAGTCAAAAATGTGAAAGTAACTTTCCACCTTGTTTTATTTTTTCCCTAAGCCGTGAATATTTATGTAGGGCCTAAACACATTTTGTGTCAACACTGTGACATGTCAAATTCAATTAGCAGGATGAAAGTATGCTTCGTGAAATAAAATGAATTCCGTGGGAGGAGAAAAAGTGGGGAGAAAAAATTCCCACTCCAAGGCTAACTTTCAAGAGCAATGTAATTTTACAGTATACATTGCAATTGAAATGGGCCGGGGGGGGGGGGGGAATGTTGCAGAAAAATGACATTTTTTTGTGGCTTAATTACCTTGTACCTCAGAGAGTATACTTTCATTTGAGAACTGTAAGGAATAAGTTGACAAAGTCTTTAAGCATGTTAAGAGAGATTTGTAGGTGAATGTGTGGCCAACTTAGGGGCCAATCAGTATTTTCAATGGTTTAAAATTTCGATTTTTTTCCAAATTATTTTGACCCATAAAAAAAACATGTACATGTACATGTACGTGCTCTTGCATGTGCATCATTATATCCCACTGGCGGGCCTGTGTGGGTTGCGTGTCCTTTCGGAAAAAAATCCATTGCTGCTGAGTGCTGGGCGGAAGCAAAAGCTGTCTCTTTGCAACTTTTCGACAACAAACAAAAGTCAAAAGATTTTCTTTTTTCTTTTTTTTGGTTTTTTTTCCATGAAAAGTGAATTTTTATTTTTATTTATTTAGCTTGGCCCACCCACCCACAATTTGGAAAAAAAGTCGAAATTTTAAAACATTGAAAATTCTGAATGGCCCCTTAGTGAGTTTTTACATGTCACTGCATCAAATTAGGTTTTGCCCTTCACTGCATGTTTTTACCGCGTCGGTTAAGGGCCTCCTCTTCGTCAACATGTGGTGACATGTAAAAATTCACTTAATTGGTCACACATTTGCCTACAAATCTTTCTTGAAAACTTTGTCAACATATTCCTTACAGTTCTCACAAAAGTTTAATCTCTGAGGTACAAGTAGCCCCATAAATGTGGCCAATTTACTGGCCTAACTCCGTAAATAAAGGCCACACTTGGAACATTTACAAAAACATGTAGAACTTTGTCAAATTTTGATTTTCACATTTAGGCTTATAAGTTTGTAGTTTATTTTTGCTTTAGAAGCATACTCACCCTCTTTATAGGCTAATCAGAAAGTGCCGCCTTTTTCAGATGTCTGTTTTTCGTGAAATTTCCAGATTCGTTTGCACACGTTTGCGTATCGAATTTTCAACACGAAATTTCACGAAAAAAAGAGACATCTGAAAAAGGGAGTACTTTCTGATTAGCCTATAAAGAGGGTGAGTATGCTTCTAAAGCAAAAATAAACTACAAACTAAGCCTAAATGTGAAAATCAAAATTTGACTAAGTTCAACATGTTTTTGTACAGCATGTTCCAAGTGTGGCCTTTATTTACGGAGGTAGGCCAGTAAATTGGCCACATTTATGGGGCCAAGGTACAAGATAAGCAACAACATGACAGCTTTGCTGTTGAAACCCCTGAGCCAGGGTGACCTTCACCTTTGACCTTTTGACCCCCAAACCAATTCTATCTTGCCTTTCTGGCCCAAGTTATCATCTGGAAACCATTTACCTTTAACTCACCACGGTGACCTTGACCTTTGACCCTGTGACCCCAAAACCAATCCTAACTTGCCTGTATCCAAGGGCAACTCCCTACCAAAGTTAGACACCAAAATCTAATTTCTAACTCAAGTTATCATCCGGAAACCATTTACCTTTAACTCACCACGGTGACCTTGAAATTTGACTTTTTGACCTCAAAACCAATCCCAACTTGCCTACTTCTAAGGAAAACCCCCTACCGAAGTTACAATCCCAAACAACATTTCTAACTCAATTGTAAGTTATCATCCTGAAACTAAGCTGCCCGGACGGACAGACGTTCCAGCCAGATGGACTTCCGGGGTACCTTCATTGTTGTCCCATTGTCCCTATTTCTAAAGATTCCACTTGCGGGGTACCCTATTTTCTAAAGATTTCACTTGCGGGGTACCTCGAACAACGGACGGGTACCCCACAAGTGGTCCTCGGTCAGAACGGACAGACAGACAGCCGGCCGACGGACAGACAGACGGACGCCCTAGGCAATGACAATACCCCTCGAGCCTCACGGCTGAGGGGTAAAAAAAAATTCTTTTTCTGTTTTGAAAGTAGCCATAGGATGCAACATTCTTTACTAAAAGTTAGTCCTGCCCTATATCTGAAATGACTACTTAAAATAGTAATCACAGGCCAGCTGACTGACATTAATTAGTCAAATATAAGTCACATAGTAATCAAAATTTCAATAAGTCTTCTGAACCCTAATGACCCAAATACTACTCAGTAGTAACCTGTAGTATTCATCTCTTTCCATACAAGTTTGCACGAAACATATTCTGTGGTATTTGGTACTTGACCCCCAAACTGCCCTTTGGGGGTTAGGGAATTAAATCAAAAATGTCTGAAATGACTAAACGTTAGTCATCTGACTTTTGCAGTTTGTCATTCAAAATGACGACTAATTACATTTAGTCACATGACTTAAGTTTTATTTCCTGCACAAACAACAAACAAAAGAAAAAGCAATAAAATCAAATGATCGTTCGATCAGGGTACCTTTCCAACAATAAAAGTGTAAGTTCAAAAAAAAAAATAGTCAAATACATCATAGAATTGCACCATCACAATAACCCTGCCTAACTGTGCTTGGACTCCAGTTTCTTCTGTCAGTTTGACATGTCCCATCACTGAACACTTGCTGTGTTTTAGTGCCAAATCACTACGTGTTCAGATATTAAACGTATCACTACACAAAAGGAAACGCAAAATTCACTCATCCGTTATACACTTTTTATTATTTTTCAACTTTTCAAAACATTATTTAGATACATGTAGTTTAACAAATTTTAATATCCAACATTTTCAAATTTTACATGAAATTCATTTACATGTAGCATTTTAGCAAATTAAGATAGTTCAGTGTTAAAATTAAAATGTATTCATGCAGGGAAATATACATCATTTGCTTTTGCTGTAAAATTCAGAAATGGATGAATTTGAGGGGTTGGTACTGTTACACTGACTTTTTTTAACGTTTTAGGTTCGTAGATACTATAAAACCAAGAAAAACAATCAATTTCCCGTAGTCTGGTTCCCTGACTCAATTTAAGATGAAACAGAGCAATTTATAGACATTGGGGAATTGTAAGGTCAGGAAACCAGTCTAGCTGGCTTGTACTCGTTCATAGGTGTGTAATCGAGTGCAAACAAATGCGGACTAAGGCCTCCAAAAAGGCTCTGGTTTCTGGTATGCGAGCGCGTCGCCGTTGCCATGCGTGTCGGCAACATTTTTTTTACAAGTGTTGTACAATGCCTCAAGACTGCCAACTCACTGGTTTGACTGGATAATCCTGCTGCTGCACAATTTTAACATGTTTTTAGATGGGGTTACGATCGAGTATAAGCTTCATGAGGCCTCTCTGGGCTCCAATTTATTTTGCACAGAATAGTCGGGCACCATTTGTTGTACAAAAAAGTGGGGGGGGGGCGGAAAGCTGCATCGCCACACCACTTTTGGGGCAAGCTCCATACCAGAAACTGAATATTCTTTTTTTTTTTGGCCTAACTCAATATGGTCCATTGGGGCCAGTATTTGGGGGAAAAAAGCCAGTTTTGTCCAACGCTGGTCAGCGGACCATCATTTGAAATTGAAAAAATACCACTTTTCTTGAAAATGACAGTATAGGCCCTACCAGGTGCCATGATTTTACAGGATGCTTTAGACTCTCATTCACTAACAGTAAATTTCATATTAATTCTGTAAGAAGTGACGTCATTTGAGAGAGACCTACATGTGGCATTTTTAAGCAAACTTTTTTTAACCGCATATACAACTCCTGGAACGAAATTCCATCTAACCTAAGAAATTCATTAATAAAATAATAATGCAGGCTCAATGTAGGAATGAAACACATAAACTTGCCAGTATATGCCTTTAAATCCAGTCTCTGTATATGTATGAGCAAAAACAGTTGTAGAAAACCAAATAGCTGAATGTTAAAGAGACTCTAATAACCTGTTCTAAAATTGGGAAGAAATTAAAGCATATATAACTGTTCAAATGAGGACACTCTGTTCCTTTTCAAGCTGGTACTGAATTGAATAATAGGCCCAGGCATAGTACGCTTCAGGCAAATATAAATGATTCTATACAAACATTTCTAATTGAACATTATTTTCATAATTATTTCAGCATTCTTTGAATCATTCTGCTTTTGTGGTTACTCGAAAAAAATTCTAAAATTTGGGGAAAAGGCAGGACTGTTCGAATGGTGACACTCTGTCCCTTAACAGCAAAAGCAGTATAACCTAAAAGCTGATACTGAATTAAGGTCCTAGTCATATGCTTTAGACAGAAAACAAAAAGGATTTAAAAAAATTATAGTTGAAAAATTCACACTTATTTTAATATTGTTTGAATCAGTCTGGTTATTGATATGCGGTTATGTTGAGCTCACTAAACATGCTCAAGAGACACCCACCTTTTCTGAAATTTGATAATACCGCTGGACCGTTCGAATGGGAGCTATAAATAGACTTGTATGACCTGCCTGACTACCACAAATCTTTTTTTCCCAAAACAATACAATTATTTTAAAGACGATCCTCTGCTAAGCAAGAGATGTCTCTATTAACTAATGTACAAACAAAGCACATGTGGCTGGCTTAATACATTTATTTGGGAAATCGATGTATTGGAACATGTACCCCAGCTTAATGTTCAGTACCAGATTATCTTCTCCAGACAGTGGAATTTCATTAGATTAGTTCACAAAGTTCATTAAATTAGAGAAAAGCAGTAAACAAAATTGGAAACATTTACACTGTGAGGTATCAGCAGTACATGTACCTCACACTTATGGTGATTCGTGACTCTGACGCGAACTGCATGACTCAGGATTTTCTTGCTGTTACTGGCAGTGTTCAGTCATGTAAATGATAATTCTGGTACAAATTTTAATGATCATCTCAGTTTCACTTACCAATTGTTTTATGTTTTTCTAAGATATGTATGTCAAAAAGCAAAGCTATGAAGTACGGAGGAAGAAGAAAAAGGAGGATTGTAGGAGGAGGAGGGAAGTAAGTAGCATTACATCCTGGTAATTCATAACGATACAAATTGCAGTAATAAGAAAACAAATCTGAAAAAATTCATTATTAGCAGAACCCAACCCACATATCCCAATGGCATGTTTTGTTAAAATCTGTCAGGATGGGTACAGTACCCCTACATTGACAGTCTTTTACATTGGGTTGGCACACCTCCAGCCCTTTTCACAGAGCCTCTCAACCCGGGTTGCACTCAACCTTGGGTGAACCCAGTGCCACCCCAGGTTGAGTTTTTGATTTTTCAACCCCAGGTTCAACCCCGCATCGTTTCATTCTTGTTTCGTGCAAATCAAGATTATCATGCTCAGTTTCTACTCTTTAGAACCCTGGCAAGAATTTCAACCCTGGTCTAGAGCGAAATGAATCTCAGTGTGAAACGATGCATGTTTTCAAACCTGCGTCAACCCGAGATTTGTTTAGTGTGAATAGGGCAAAACAAGTCAGAAATAAATGTGTGCAGTTTCTCATATGGTGTTGGAATTTGCCAGAATGGGTATGGTTCCTAGTAAATCATAGGGAGTTGGGGTTAAAGTATCATATGGAATAAAACATATTTTCGGCCATTTTCTTACAGGTAAAGAGAAAAGAAAAGGAAGCAGAGGTAAGCAGGTTAGAATCTGGTCTTCAGGTTATATCTTTCCTTGAAGAAACTCTTCCAAACCACAGATTAGCAAAAGAAACAAGTTTGCCGAGTGATTTTGGAATTTCCATTGAAGCACTGTGTGACAAACATTTGGGCTAGTCTGATATTTAACCACATCTGACGTTTTACTTGCACTGATATTTCAGTTGTTCTGAAATATATTTCCCTTGTGACATCACTTTTGACTAACACTTGATGTGACATTTGACTTGTGATTTGAGATCATTATAAAAACCACTTCTCACCTATAATAAATCACACCACCATCGGATTTGTATATCAATTTGTAGTGTAGGGGCTAGACGTTATTATGGTTTGATATGCAATAACCCGCCACCACAATAAGCTGCCGCCACAAAAGGGCACTATCAAGACCAACCAATATCACCCACAAACCCGTCAGAACAACATCTAGGCCAATTCCTATTGGATGTGTAATGTGCGCACCTGTTCAGCCTGATATAAGCAGCACACAATTCAAAACATTTTGTAGTAGTTCTGAAGCAAACTCTTAAATTTCTTCCAGTATTATAAAGATGCAGCAAGATTTTTGTGCAATAGTTTCCCTCATTTTTCGGTGGGGGGGGGGTAGATTTTTGGAAATGTCCTAGATGTTGCTACTGACAAGTCCTTGGTCGATATTGGTTGGACGTGAAAGGCCCTCTTGCAGCGGCGGGTTTAACCCTAAAGGGAGCAACTCTTCATGAACATACCCAAGAAATTTCATGACCAAAGGTCAAAGGGTTTTGGAATTATGGCTAATTAGTTCTTCATATGTATGAATGGCAATTCCGGACTGTGTACACGACGTATTATGGGAAACGCGGGAAAAATTTTCACTGCGCAACAACCCCTGGTCTGATTTTTATGTTTTTGGTGTCAAAAGATGCGCAAAGCTCGAGGCTAAAAAGTCAAAAAAGTTCGGGTCGTGAAAAAACATTTTTTAAAGGCTATCACGGAAAAAGTCGAGTTGGGGGCGGATTCCGCCCCCCCCCCCCCCCGCCCCTTTTAGGGTTAAGAAGGCCAAACAAAAAAAAGGAAAAAAACAGTTATGCTTCCAGTTTCCCTACCTACCCTATTCTGACAGCACCTACTTTAATTTTTTTATGGAAAAAAGGGGAAAGATTCACCCAAAACCATACATTTCTGCCTTTTACCCTTGATTTTATGCAGACGTCTCCTTATCATCGTACACAAAAAAAGTTTTGCCAAATAAAACTTTCCCTTTCTTAAGGCCAACAAAAATAAGTCTCCGGTTTCTGGTATGGAGCTTGCCCAAAAAGTGGTGCGGCGACGCGGATTTTTTTTTTTACCTGATTTTTTTTGCTTCAAAATGTAGGCTGATGACTACAAATGGTGCCCGACTAGACTTAGTGCAAATATATGGGAGTCCAGAGAGGCCACATAAAGCTTATTCTTGATCATAACCCCATCTAAAAACACATTAAAATTGTGCAGCAGCAGGATTCCAGTCAAACCAGTGAGTTTGGCGGTCTTGAGACATCATCTTTCATTGAAAAAAAACTTTTTCATTTTGCCGACGCGCATGGCTACGGCGACGCGCGCGCATACCAGAAACCAGATACTTTTTTTTTGGCCTAACCTACCCTATTTTCTAATGCCATGTAATCAGAAGCAGAAACTATTTTGGGGGGCTTATCGCGTATCAAAGTAATCAAACCATATAACAAAGTGTAGCCCCTAGACTAATCAATTTGAAAAGGAAGAGTTACAACGTATACAACACAAACTTGAGACAGGACAATTTGGGAAGGTTAGTGGGCAATCCCTATTCCAAACAAGAAACGTGATAAGTACCAAAATAATATGGCATCCCATTCTACATGAAATCACTTTTTTCCAGAAAGAAAAAAGAGAAAGAGAGAAGAGACAAGCGGTAAGATTATTGCAATGCCGATTATATAGTGGATATTAAAATGGTTTTGGGAAGAAATGTAGAATGCTGGTTCTTATGCTGGCACATTTGACTATTTCCTGACATAAAGGGGGGAAGTTTGTCTATCAGTCAACACTGTGAATGAGTTCTGATTTGACTTTTGACTGACTTGCTATTGACTTCTGAATTGACATTTGACTGACCTGTGACTGTCTTGTGATTGACCACGTGTGATTAACCAAATCTGACGTATTACTTTCACTGATTTTTATGCCCCGCGGCGAAGCCGAAGGGGCATACTGTTTCCGCCTTGTCCTTCCGTGGGTGGGTGGGTGGGTGGGTGGGTGGGTGGGTGGGTGTGAGTTTGTCTTACATACGCAGTGTGGACTTCCGAACAAAAGACGTCCACATAATGTAGGTAGCACCGACGTTGTGTGGACTTACCCCACGTCCACACAGTGTTTCCCCATTTCTGGAAAACAGGTTTAGAGGCATTTTTGGGTTAGGTTTATCTGTAGCAGAATGAAGAGAAACACTAAAGGGAATCATAGAAAAAAAATTGGGTTGAAAGAGTTTTCACAGTTTGAGAAAAATGAGTTTTTTCACTGGTTTTTCTTAACTACACGAAAGCAATGGAAAGTCCACACTAGTCATGTGAAACAAGTATGGGTGGGTGTGTGTGTGTGAGGGTGGGTGGGTGGGTGTGTGTGTCCGGACAAATCTTGTCAGCGCGATAACTTGAGAAATACTTAACATATGAACTTCAAATTTGGTTTGTGGATTGTCCTTGGTAATCCTAAGAAGCCTTTTGCATTTGGGGCCGAAAGGTCAAGGGTCAAGGTCACAGTGGCTGAAACAATAGAAATTTTGTCAGCGCGATAACTTGAGAAATACTTAACATATGAACTTCAAATTTGGTTTGTGGATTGTTCTTGGTAATCCTTAGAAGCCTTTTGCATTTGGGGCCGAAAGGTCAAGGGTCAAGGTCACAGTGGCTGAAACAATAGAAATTTTGTCAGCGCGATAACTTGAGAAATACTTTACATATGAACTTCAAATTTGGTTTGTGGATTGTCCTTGGCAATTCTAAGAAGCCTTTTACATTACGGGCCAAAAGGTCAAGGGTCAAGGTCACAGTGACTAAAACAAAAGAAATTTTGTCAGCGCGATAACTTGAGAAATACTTTACATATGAACTTCAAATTTGGTTTGTGGATTGTTCTTGGTAATCCTAAGAAGCCTATTGCATTTGGGGCCGAAAGGTCAAGGGTCAATGTCACAGTGGCTGAAACAATAGAAATTTTGTCAGCGCGATAACTTGAGATATACTTTACATATGAACTTCAAATTTGGTTTGTGGATTGTCCTTGGCAATCCTAAGAAGCCTTTTGCATTTGGGGCCAAAAGGTCAAGGGTCAAGGTCACAGTGGCAAAAACAAAAGAAATTTTGTCAGCGCGATAACTTGAGATATACTTTACATATGAACTTCAAATTTGGTTTGTGGATTGTCCTTGGCAATCCTAAGGAGCCTATCGCACTGGGGGTCGAAAGGTCAAGGGTCAAGGTCACAGTGGCTAAAACAATAGAAATCTTGTATTTATTCTGAGATCATAGGGATTAGGGATTAATTCATATAAAACCTACAGAAGACACTAATGCTGTCAATGAACGTTCCATTTGACCAAGGTACATGTAATTTGATGTTAGAGTGGTGTTATGTCATGGAAACAGTCACGGTTGCGGGGCATTTGTGTTTGTAAACACACCTGACTTGTTTAAAAATGTGTTTCACTTGTGATATCACTTCTGACTGACTTATGATTTGACATCTGACTTGTGATTTGATTTTTAAGGCTCACTTTTGATCTTAGCTGTATTTCTACTTTTGATTGACTTTTGATTTGGATTTTGACAGACTTTTGATTGACTTGAGATTTGACTTGTGACTTCACTTAGTTTGGACTGTTACTTAACATTTGGCATTTGTATTTACATGAAATCACTTTTTCCCCAGAAGGAGGAAGAAGAGAGGAGGAGGAGAAGGGAAGAAAGAGGGGAAGAAAGAGGGGTAAGATTACTGCAATACCAATGTATTGATTTCATTGATTTTTTATCTGAGAAATATTTCCCTTGTGATAGCACCTTTGACTGACATTTGATATGACATTTGACTTGTGATTTGAGATATTTTAAAAACTACCTATCGCCTACAATAAATCACACCACCATCTGGTTTGTAGATATCAATTTGTAGTCTGGGGGCTAGACGTAATATGTTATGGTTTGATATGCGATAACCCTCGGCGTAATAACCAGCTGGTGCAAGTGGGCTCAATCACAACTAAACAACATCATCAATGAACCCCGTCGCAACAACGTCTAGGCCAATTTTATTATGATTTGACATTTGACTGACCTGTGATTGACCACGTGATTAACCACATCTGACGTACTACTTTCACTGATTGTTTTTACTGAAATGTGTTTCGCTGGTTATATCACTTCTGACTGACTTCTGATTTGACTTTTGACTGACTGGTGATTGACCACATCTGACATATTACTTTCACTGATCTGATGTATTACTTTCCAGAGTTGTAACCAAGTTATTTTTTTCCAAGGGAAGTCAAGTCCCAAGTCAAATTTTAGCAAGTCAAGTCAAGTCTCAAGTCATTTTGTTTTGTTTTTATATTAGAAAACAATACTATGCGTAAGGAGAAAAAGCAGGAGAAGACCTTCGAGAGATGTAAGGAGATTTTTAAAAATTATACTATTAACACCTCTCTCAAACACCTTATTTGTATCTTAAGAGTCTAAAAATGCATTTTGATATAATATTTTCTAACTTGTTCCATCATGTTGAATGTTTGAAGGACGTCTGACAAACTGTCCTTCTGAACATTTTGGTTTAATGGATGATGTGAATTTTTTTTGCTTTATGGCGGATTGGGGGTAGCAGCCGTTTTGCAGTAGTTTAAACCCCAGTTACATTTAGCACGCTGATGGTAAACCACTCAATGTGTACGTGTAGCCTATGGTCTCTATGGAATGACAGCTCTATAACAACGGGTGGTACTCAGACTGCACACGACACAAACTTTACCTCGCATGCACGAGGTCGAGTATGATACGTTGTCCATAACACACGCATAGTACATGACGTGTGGCAGGCTCAGTATGCCCAGCTAATTTGCTATGTATATCTGCATTCTTTTCAACGGATTATGCTGATGGGCATGATCGCCCAGAGGTTGTGTTTTTTTGTAACTTTTAAAAACGTGTTAATTTCAGCAAGTCAAATTCATTCGCATCGAGTCAAGTCACAAGTCATAGTTGTCAAAGTAAGTCAAGTCTCGAAGTAAAAAAAATAGGGACTCGAGTCCGACTCCAGTCTGAGTCAGCGACTCGAGTCAACAACACCCCTATCACTGACTTTTTTTTAAAACTGAAATGTGTTTCACTTGTGAAATCCCTTTGACTGATATTTGATGTGACATTTGGCTTGTGATTTGACTTGTGCTGAATAAAAAAAACCGAACTACTAACGCAAATTTCCAACGGTGCATCCGTTGGAAATTAGGCCTTCTTTCCTTGATTTCTTCAAAATGACAGCTTGTCAGAAACAATCATTTCACAGGGAGTTCAGTTCCCTTACTATCTTTCAACCAAGTATGTTTTTCAACAATAATTACGTCAGTATATAGCTGAAAATGATGGACTGTAGCTTTAAGCTATGTAATGACTTGTGATGTTCACTTGTGATTTGACTGAAGGCTCACTTGTTGAACGCACATTTTCTATGTGTGGACAGACACACAGAGATTCCTCAAATTATGGCAAGAAAACGTGAGGAAGAAAAATGTGCAGTTCTTTATTTACCCTTTGTTGATAATGGAATAGCCCCCACAAGTGAGGTTCAGCTACATTTAGCTCTATTAACACACAAAGAGTTTAAATCTTTTATGAGACCAATTGGGCTAATTTGTATCTTTTTTTTTACATCTTTTTCATACGCTTCCCATTTTTAGATATAGTAAAATTAGTAGCGAGAGACAGACACACATGCGCACAGAGATTCCTGGAATTATAAATACATGTAGATATGTAAATCACATAAAAACATTTTATTTTTTTCAATTTTTTCTCCAAAAAATGGCAAGCGCCCCCTTGACCCCCCCCCCCCCCCCCCCCCCCCGCGACGCCCATGCACATAATGGAGGGCGGTATAGTCAATATCAGTCAACCTGACTGGAAATTGACTTTTGAATTGACTTTCAACTGATATTTGACTGACTTGTGATTGACCTGTGATTTGCTTTGTGATTTGACTTTTGACTGATGTCTGTTTGACTTGTGATTTGAAGTTGACTAACTTTTCATTGACTTTTGTGATTTTACTTTTAATAAATTTAAAATTTATTATGATTTGAAATTTGTATTAGACAAAAAAAAAAAACACAATTTTTTTCCACAGGAGCAAGAGGAACAGAGGAAGAGGAGGAAGGTAAGATTAAAAAATTAATATTCCTGTAAAACTGACTTTATACTGACTTGTGATTGACTTGTGATATGAATTTTTACTGAATTGAAATTGACTTGTGATTGGACTTTCGAATGACTTGTAAGTGACTTGTGATTTGACTTTCAACTGGATTGTGATTGACTTGCGATTTCACTGATTTGACTTTTGATTTCCGCAGAAGGAAGAGGAAGAGAGGAAGAGGAGGAAGGTAAGATGGTTGATATTATATAAATATAAAATTAATATTCATGTAAAACTGACTTTATACTGACTTGTGATTGACTTGTGATATGACTTAACACTGACTTGTAAGTGACTTGTGATTTGACTTTTGACTGGATTGTGATTGACTTGCAATTTCACTGATTTGACTTTTGATTTTGATAGTGCGGCCGAACCGAACTAAAAATAGCCAAACATGGCCTCCCAAACCAAACCGAACCAAACCGAAATGGTGGATTCGGAAGAGTTCGGCAACTTTTAGGTTTTTATGCCCCGCGGCAAAGCCGAAGGGGCATACTGTTTACGCCATGTCCTTGAGTGGGTGGGTGGGTGTGTGGGTGGTTGTGTGTGTGCAGGTGTGTACAGGCATTACATTCACCGTGTGGACTTCCCAACAAAAGATGTCCACATAAACCAGGTAGAGGAGTTTCCCCATTTCTGGAAAACAGGTTTAGAGGCATTTTAGGGTTAGGTTTATCTGTAACAGAATGAAGAGAAACACTAAAGGGAATCATAGAAAAAAAATTGGGTTGAAAGAGTTTTCACAGTTTGAGAAAAATGATTTTTTTTTCACTGGTTTTTCTTAACTACACGAAAGCAATGGAAATCCACACTTGGTATGTAACGTAAACTTGGGTGGGTGGGTATGTGTGTCCAGACAAATTTTGTCAGTGTGATAACTTGAGAAATACTCAACATATAAACTTCAAATTTGGTTTGTAAATTGTTCTTGGTAATCCTAAGAAGCCTACATATTGCATTTGGGGCTGAAAAGTCAAGGGTCAAGGTCACAGTGGCTAAAACAAAAGAAATTTTGTCAGTGGAATAACTTGAGAAATTAACTATGAACTGTAAATTGATTTGAGAGATCTAAGCTCCAAGGTGGCGCTATTTAACGTTGTGATGATGTTAATGGACCAGTTCTTGGCTGAACGCGTGGTTTACACACAAAACAGGGAGATTTTTGACTAAAAATGCAGTGTTTAACATCAATTTGCAAGTGAAATTCAATGTTTTATTCAGCTTTTTTTTCATTTTCTGAAAGAGTATATTGTTAGGGTCATACCGTAGTAAGAACTAAGGTATACTCTGTCGAATAATGAAGTTGTGGTGATATGTGAAAAAGGGCCCGTTTTTAATTACTTTTCGCCGTGTTCTCTCATAGAGGGTGCACATAAAAACTGGCCTGGTGGGTTAGTTTCCCCAAAGGAATCCATATGAGAAATCTTGTCAGCGCGATAATTTGAGAAAAACTTTACATGTGAACTTCAAATTTGGTTTGTGGATTGTTCTTGCTAATCCTAAACAGCCTATTGCATTTGGGGCAGAAAAGTGGGGGGGATCAAGTTCACAGTGGCTAAAACAATAGAAATCTTATATTTATTCTGAGATCATAGGGAGTAATTCATATAAAATCTACAGAAAACAATAATGATGTCATTATTGAACGTTCCACTTTAGTGATTGACTTGTGATTGGTCTTTGACTAACTTTTCATTGACTTTTGTGATTTTACTTTTATTATGATTTGAAATTTGTATTAAACAAAAAACCCACATTTTTTTCCGCAGAAGGAAGAGGCAGAGACGAAGAGGAGGAAGGTAACATGGTGGATATTATACTAATATAAAATTAATATTCCTGTAAAACTGACTTTATACTGACTTGTGATTGACTTGTGATATGAATTTTTACTGAATTGAAATTGACTTGTGATTGGACTTTCGAATGACTTGTAAGTGACTTGTGATTTGACTTTCAACTGGATTGTGATTGACTTGCGATTTCACTGATTTGACTTTTGATTTCCGCAGAAGGAAGAGGAAGAGAGGAAGAGGAGGAAGGTAAGATGGTTGATATTATATAAATATAAAATTAATATTCATGTAAAACTGACTTTATACTGACTTGTGATTGACTTGTGATATGACTTTATACTGACTTGTAATTGACTTGTGATTGGACTTTCCAATGACTTGTAAGTGACTTGTGATTTGACTTTTGACTGGATTGTGATTGACTTGCAATTTCACTGATTTGACTTTTGATTTTGATAGTGCGGCCAAACCGAACTAAAAATAGCCAAACATGGCCTCCCAAACCAAACCGAACCAAACCGAAATGGTGGATTCGGAAGAGTTCGGCAACTTTTAGGTTTTTATGCCCCGCGGCAAAGCCGAAGGGGCATACTGTTTACGCCATGTCCTTGAGTGGGTGGGTGGGTGTGTGGGTGGTTGTGTGTGTGCAGGTGTGTACAGGCATTACATTCACCGTGTGGACTTCCCAACAAAAGATGTCCACATAAACCAGGTAGAGGAGTTTCCCCATTTCTGGAAAACAGGTTTAGAGGCATTTTAGGGTTAGGTTTATCTGTAACAGAATGAAGAGAAACACTAAAGGGAATCATAGAAAAAAAATTGGGTTGAAAGAGTTTTCACAGTTTGAGAAAAATGATTTTTTTTTCACTGGTTTTTCTTAACTACACGAAAGCAATGGAAATCCACACTTGGTATGTAACGTAAACTTGGGTGGGTGGGTATGTGTGTCCAGACAAATTTTGTCAGTGTGATAACTTGAGAAATACTCAACATATAAACTTCAAATTTGGTTTGTAAATTGTTCTTGGTAATCCTAAGAAGCCTACATATTGCATTTGGGGCTGAAAAGTCAAGGGTCAAGGTCACAGTGGCTAAAACAAAAGAAATTTTGTCAGTGGAATAACTTGAGAAATTAACTATGAACTGTAAATTGATTTGAGAGATCTAAGCTCCAAGGTGGCGCTATTTAACGTTGTGATGATGTTAATGGACCAGTTCTTGGCTGAACGCGTGGTTTACACACAAAACAGGGAGATTTTTGACTAAAAATGCAGTGTTTAACATCAATTTGCAAGTGAAATTCAATGTTTTATTCAGCTTTTTTTTCATTTTCTGAAAGAGTATATTGTTAGGGTCATACCGTAGTAAGAACTAAGGTATACTCTGTCGAATAATGAAGTTGTGGTGATATGTGAAAAAGGGCCCGTTTTTAATTACTTTTCGCCGTGTTCTCTCATAGAGGGTGCACATAAAAACTGGCCTGGTGGGTTAGTTTCCCCAAAGGAATCCATATGAGAAATCTTGTCAGCGCGATAATTTGAGAAAAACTTTACATGTGAACTTCAAATTTGGTTTGTGGATTGTTCTTGCTAATCCTAAACAGCCTATTGCATTTGGGGCAGAAAAGTGGGGGGGATCAAGTTCACAGTGGCTAAAACAATAGAAATCTTATATTTATTCTGAGATCATAGGGAGTAATTCATATAAAATCTACAGAAAACAATAATGATGTCATTATTGAACGTTCCACTTTAGTGATTGACTTGTGATTGGTCTTTGACTAACTTTTCATTGACTTTTGTGATTTTACTTTTATTATGATTTGAAATTTGTATTAAACAAAAAACCCACATTTTTTTCCGCAGAAGGAAGAGGCAGAGACGAAGAGGAGGAAGGTAACATGGTGGATATTATACTAATATAAAATTAATATTCCTGTAAAACTGACTTTATACTGACTTGTGATTGACTTGTGATATGAATTTTTACTGAATTGAAATTGACTTGTGATTGGACTTTCGAATGACTTGTAAGTGACTTGTGATTTGACTTTTGACTGGATTGTGATTGACTTGCGATTTCACTGATTTGACTTTTGATTTCCGCAGAAGGAAGAGGAAGAGAGGAAGAGGAGGAAGGTAAGATGGTTGATATTATACTAATATAAAATTAATATTCATGTAAAACTGACTTTATACTGACTTGTGATTGACTTGTGATATGACTTTATACTGACTTGTAATTGACTTGTGATTGGACTTTCCAATGACTTGTAAGTGACTTGTGATTTGACTTTTGACTGGATTGTGATTGACTTGCAATTTCATTGATTTGACTTTTGATTTTGATAGTGCGGCCAAACTGAACTAAAAATAGCCAAACATGGCCTTCCGAACCAAACCGAACCGAACCAAGCGAAATCAAAATGGTGCCTTCGGAGGTTCGGCAACTTTAAAAATGCTATTGGTTGTGATGAAAGGGCAAATTAAAGCGCACAGATTGAATTTACAGTGTTAACAAGTTATCTGCATTCATCTCTAATGTTTGGTGGGCTGAGCTCCATGATATTGTCTTCGGTGTGTATAATCTGTACTTAACGTAACATTGCTATAATCATTTCACCCAAGTGTACATAATACATGTACATGAATGTAGACTGATTTTCTGACCTTACAGTTCCCCAAAGTCTATAAATTGTTCTCAAGGAGAAACAAAATAACACCTCTCTGGTGATTTTAGTGTACTTTTAATAAGGGAATAAATTTTAAAAAATCATAAAATATCAACCAATGATGTCATGGTGACGTCATTTCGGATTTTGCATACTAGTACCATTATCTAGCAATCCACCAAGTTTCATGACGATTGGACTTTCTCTTATGTGTTTTCGAAAATCGCATTTTTGATGACGTCATGATGACGTCACACATTTTTCAAAATTTTGAGCATATACCTATAACCTACAAAAACAAATTCAAAAAGAATTTTCAATTTTGCATGTTGACACAACCTTGTCATAAGGACAATGTATGTGCTTAATTTGAATGATGTATGACAGTTTAATGCCAAAAGTAGCGTGTACGAAAATCCTGTACAAAGTGTATGGGATATTGCGTGGAACAAAAAGTGGAAAGAAAAAAAATCAGAACGTAAAAAAAGGCTTTTTCGCAAAATATAAAGCCAACAATCATATTCAACAGTTCCATTTGATGTAGCCTCTTATGCAATTTCGACTGACCAACTGACCCTCGGATCCTTCAACGCCAAATAAAAATGAGAACCAGTAGGGTTAACAGACACAATCTGAACAGATACTTTTACAATTGGCCTTTTTCTAGACAAGGCGTCCATCATATTGTCGATCAGTGGTGTTATTTGATATTTTTCTCATTTTTGAATTGCAAGGAAAAAAATAAAATGGTACATAGGCTGGCAAAAAGAGTCCATGTGCCATTCAGCATGTCCCTGGCCCTGGGTTCATCTATTCATATCTCTGAGAGGGGTTTCATCGACTGCACTGAACATGTCCCTCAACTGCTGTAGAATTTTGACTTCCCAGGCAATAAGTCTCTCAAACAAGTCATATTTTCATACGTTATTTTACCTTCACAATGAAAATTTATCCTCTCCGAATTTTATCAGTATTGACTTACCGTTTTTGACTGATGACGTCGTCATCAAACCAGAAATAACTTTTTTGGCGCACATAGAATGTTTACTGAAATTTATCACACTGTTTCAGATTTATTTTTGTAACAAAATAATTGATTGTACTGGATGGGATTTAATTTTGTGGTTCTTTGTTAGAACTACATGAACATATTCCTTTAACTGGGCAGTGCATAATGAAAAGGCTTTTTGCCCGACCACTCTGCGTTTGTAGCTCAACAAACACGAACCTCTAGTTAAATATCTTTATTTCTCATTTTGTTATTTTCTTTCAGCTAGATATAAAGGAGGAGGAGGTAGAGGATGTGGTAGGGAAAATACAACATTAAAGGGAAAATACAACATTTGCAAACATCAAAAAATAAAACTACCAAATCATTTGGAAATACCTTGCTGGACTGTTAGTTAATGACAGTGTAAAGCATCCTGTAAAATCATGGCACCTGGTATACTGTCATTTTCAAGAAAAGTGGTATTTTTGTATCAATTTCCAACGCTGATCAGCCAATCAGCGTTGGAAACAACTGGCTTTTTTTCAAATACTGGCCCCAATTGACCATCACACTTGTTTGCAATCGATTACAAACCTATGAACGGGTACGAGCCAGCTAGACTGGTTCCCTGACCTCACAATTCCCCAATGTATGTAAACTGCTCTGTTTCTTCTTATATGGAGTCAGGGAACCAGACTACAGGAAAATGATCGTTTTCTTGGTTTTTATAGCATTTTCGAACCCAAAACCTCAAAAAAGTCAGTGTAACTATATTTGCTATATATTTCCAACCCCCCTAATTCCATATATTTCTGAAAATTACAGCAAAAGCAAATGATGTATATTCCCTTTAAAGATTCATTTTTGTAACAAAATAATTGATTGTACTGGATGGGATTTAATTTCGTGATTCTTTGTTAGAACTACATAAACATATTCCTTCAACTGGGCAGTGCATAATGAAAAGGCTGTTCGCCCGACCACTCTGTGTTTGTAGCTCGAAAAACACGAACCTCTAGTTAAATATCTATATTTCTCATTTTGTTATTTACTTTCAGCGAGAGGAGGAGGTAGAAGAAGAAGTGGTAAGTGAAATAAGTAGAATAAGTATTACATTTTTTAAATATTCTTTAGTTGATATATATTCAATGTGTACGTACTGTACATGTAATTCACGAGCAAAGTACACCCAACTTTTTAAATCCTGAATGTGCACAAAGGCAAGCCACAGTGTCTTCGCGCGTGAGCATCAGGAGTCGGACTTTGAATACGTTCAAAGACTTGCGATGGTCTCCCAGACTAATCCCCGACCCTAATATCTTTGGATCACTCAAAATACGCAGTGGGTGAATCCTCGATTTACACCATAAACAAATGGTGTGTACACGTACCGGTAGGCCTACATGAGTGTTTAAGAAATGTGCATGCTTACCGACTATACTTGAACCTGTTTTTTTTTATCGGCAATAGTTCTTACCAAGGTTAAGTTAGCAACAGTTAAAACCAACAAGAGTGTCGTTGAAACATGTATAGGGCAGCGTTTTGGGGGTTTTTTTGGTGAGAATTTTCAAGTTGAATCATATTCCATGAACTGTAAAAGCAATTTATATGCCATCAACGTAGAAGGGAAGTTACAAGCAAATTAATGCACAATTTTTTTCAGTTAGAAAAAACAAAAAACAAAGTGAGGTGGTTATACATGTAAATCCAAAAGCTCAATGCATCCACTTCTCAAAATGAGCAAACGTGTTGGAAATTGTGCTCATATACAGATACACTCAATGGACAAATGTTTTTGATCATGTGTTCATCGTGGCGGCATTGACAGTTAAAAAATTTACCAGACTGCATCATCAGGTGCAGATGAAGATGCCAAAGATGTGTGCCTTTTATATACAAATCATAGAAATAAAAGCTAATTCAGAACAATTACATTGTAAAACAATCATATTCAACAGTTTCATTTATGTAGCCTCTTATGCAATTTCGACTGACCCACTGACCCTCTTTTGAGGCAAAGTAAATATGAGAACCCTAGGATTAACAGACACATTCTGAACGGATACTTTTACAATAGACAAGGCATCCATCATGTTGTCAATCAGTTGTGTTATTTGATATCTGTCTCAAGTTTGAATTGCAAGGAAAAAAATAAAATGCTACATAGGCTGGCAAAAAGAGTCCATATGCCATTCAGCATGTTCCTGGCCCTGGGTTCTTCTATTCATATCTCTGAGAGGGGTTTCATCGACTGCACTGAACATGTCCCTCAGCTGCTGTAGAACTTTAACTTCCACAACAATAAGTCTCTCAAACAAGTCATATTTTCATACGTTATTTTAACTATTAATAAATCACAATGAAAATTTGTCCTCTCCGAATTTAATCAGTACTGACTTAGCGTTTTTGACTGATGACGTCGTCATCAAACCAGAAATAACTTTTTTTACGCACATACATGTAGAATGTTTACTGAAGTTTATCACACCGTTAAAGATTCATTTTTGTAACAAAATAATTGATTGTACTGGATGGGATTTAATTTCGTGATTCTTTGTTAGAACTACATAAACATATTCCTTAAACTGGGCAGTGCATAATGAAAAAGCTGTTCGCCCGACCACTCTATGTTTGTAGCTCGAAAAACACGAACCTCTAGTTAAATATCTATATTTTCCATTTTGTTATTTACTTTCAGCGAGAGGAGGAGGTGGAGGAGGTAGAGGAAGAAGTGGTAAGTGAAATAAGTAAAATAAGTATTACATTTTTTAAATATTCTTTAGTTGATATATATTCAACGTGTACGTACTGTACATGTACTTCGCGAGCAAAATACGCACAACTTTTTAAATCCTGAATGTGCACAAAGGCAAGCCACAGTGTCTTCGCACGTGAGCATCAGGAGTCGGACTTTGAATACGTTCAAAGACTTGAGATGGTCTCCCAGACTAATCCCCGACCCTAATAACTTTGGATCACTCAAAATACGCAGTGGGTGAATCCTCGATTTACACCATAAACAAATGGTGTGTACACGTACCGGTAGGCCTACATGAGTGTTTAAGAAATGTGCATGCTTACCGACTATACTTGAACCTGTTTTTTTTTATCGGCAATAGTTCTTACCAAGGTTAAGTTAGCAACAGTTAAAACCAACAAGAGTGTCGTTGAAACATGTATAGGGCAGCGTTTTGGGGGTTTTTTTGGTGAGAATTTTCAAGTTGAATCTATTCCATGAACTGTAAAAGAAATTTATATGCCATCGACGTAGAAGGGAAGTTACAAACAAATTAATGCACAATTTTTTTCAGTTAGAAAAAACAAAAAACAAAGTGAGGTGGTTATACATGTAAATCCAAAAGCTCAATCCATCCACTTCTCAAAATGAGCAAACGTGTTGAAAATTGTGCTCAATACAGATACACTCAATGGACAAATCTTTTTGATCATGTGTTCATCGTGGCGGCATTGACAGTTAAAAAATTTACCAGCTGCATCATCAGGTGCAGATGAAGATGACAAAGATGTGTGCCTTTTTTACAAAAATCATAGAAATAAAAGCTAATTCAGAACAATTACATTGTAAAACAATCGTATTCAACAGTTTCATTTTATGTATATATAGCCTCTTATGCAATTTCGACTGACCCACTGACCCTCTTTCAAGGCCAAGTAAATATGAGAACCATAGGATTAACAGACACAATCTGAACGGATACTTTTACAATTGGCTTTTTAAAATGCTACATAGGCTGGCAAAAAGAGTCCATATGCCATTCAGCATGTCCCTGGCCCTGGGTTCATCTATTCATATCTCTAAGAGGGGTTTCATCGACTGCACTGAACATGTCCCTCAGCTGCTGTAGAACTTTAACTTACACGACAATAAGTCTCTCAAACAAGTCATATTTTCATACGTTATTTTACCTTCACAATGAAAATTTATCCTCTCCGAATTTTTTCAGTATTGACTTACCGTTTTTGACTGATGACGTCATTAAACCAGAAGTAACTTTTTTTGCTCACATAGAATGTTTACTGAAATTTATCACACTGTTTCAGATTTATTTTTGTAACAAAATAATTGATTGTACTGGATGGGATTTAATTTTGTGGTTCTTTGTTAGAACTACATGAACATATTCCTTTAACTGGGCAGTGCATAATGAAAAGGCTTTTCGCCCGACCACTCTGCGTTTGTAGCTCAACAAACACGAACCTCTAGTTAAATATCTTTATTTCTCATTTTGTTATTTTCTTTCAGCTAGATATAAAGGAGGAGGAGGTAGAGGATGTGGTAAGTGGAGACTTTGGTTGCTTTCTCTTTGCTGTTCAGATTTACTGAATATACTGTTCGGTTTAGGGTTGTAAGTGTGCAAGGATGGATGGTATACCAATTAGGACTTTATAAGGCATCCCATTTTAATTCTATGGTTCCAATTTACAACCAATCCTTCTTTTTTTTTTGGCTTGATACTGATCGAATGTAAAAAATGTTTGTTTTACGTTACTTCGACCCACTCTTCAGAAAAATTACAATTAAACTAAGGATAATCTGTCCAATACTGTGGGGGTAAAAATGCCAAAGTGGGTGCATTTACAACAGTAAGGCATAGAATGGATTGAGCTGATCATAGCTGACAATCTTCTTATTGTTTTAGCAACAGTGACCTTGACCTTTGAACTGTCTGCCCCAAAAGCAATCTAGGCTTTTTTTTAGTCTATCAAGAACAATCTACAAACCAAATTTCAAGTTCCTACATGAAGTATTTCTCAAGCTATCGCGAAAGTATTTCTCTTCTTTTGTTTAAGCAACAAGTGACTTTGACCCTTGACCTGTCGGCCCCAAAAGCAACAGGCTTCTTAAGGGCCCTGTCACACTTCTGCGTATCCTAATTCCTTATGAGTTGGGCATTTACATTTTTTTATACGCAGTCGTACGCACAATACACACCTCATATGCATCTCTTTTGTTTTGTGTAGGTTTTATGTACGCAGATATACGCATGGTACGGCCCAGTACGCAGGATAGTTTTGGGCATGCACAAAACTATGCTGCGTACGCTGTTACGCAGGTCATAAGTTATAAATACGCAGCGCATCAGTCCCGCATCGGTCGAGTGCGTTACGAGTACAATATGTGTTCGTGACGCACCCCGTCAGCATATGAGCCGCCTGCATGAATTGGACGTATTCATAGCGTACTTGCAGCGCAGATGCAACGCACGCTGAACGGCTTTTTTTTTTGGACAAGACATCCATCATGTTGTCAATCAAGGGAGGATCCAGGGGGGGGGGGGCGCCAAAGGGGGCCATGGCCCCCCACAAAACGAAACCAATTTTTTTGTTTTTTGTTTATGTGACATTGCAATAAAGGCAGGCAAGGAGTACACCACCATCTTTTCCTCAAAAAGACATTGGTTAAAGTGGTCAGAAATTGCCTCAGATCGCACCACAGAGCATCTAGTATCCAAAACAATTGGGGGACCAAAACTTTTTTTGGCCCCCCAAAAAAATGTGTTCTGGATCCGCCCTTGTTGTCAATCAGTGGTGTTATTTAATATCTTTCTCAAGTTTGAATTGCAAGGAAAAAAATAAAATGCTACAAAGGCTGGCAAAAAGAGTCCATGTGCCATTCAGCATGTCCCTGACCCTGGGTTCATCCATTCATATCTCTGAGAGGGGTTTCATCGACTGCACTGAACATGTCCCTCAGCTGCTGTAGAACTTTAACTTCCACGACAATAAGTCTCTCAAACAAGTCATATTTTCATACGTTATTTTACCTTCACAATGAAAATTTATTAAGTCTCTCGAACAAGTCTGCGATCAAGCTACATGAGTCGTTTCTCAGGAATTTTCATTTGCAGATACAAGCCAAAATAGGGTCACATCATCACATCACTTCATCACATCTCTTGGTGTTCCGACTTCTATAGTTTTTGAACTAAAGATGGTATCAGCATGCCGTTTGTACAGCAGTAATGCTGAGATTGTGCTCTTTTCAAAGTTGTAATAAAAAATGTTTTGACCGGGGTCGACAAGTTAAATGACTCATTTAGCTTGATCGCATCGCATTTATTGAAGTAGAAGTGGAGAGGTGTATTACCTGCGTCTTCCACATGACAGAAAAAACACCTCGAAGTATTGGTCAGTCTGAGGAGTGTGGTGTGATTCACTGTACACATGTAACTAATAACCCCAGGCCAATAGGACTATCTCTCATGATCACCTTGCAGTGGGCAGTGCATTTTTACTTCCAATGTAAAATGTATAAAAACATGTTGATTGTTCATTTCAAACACTTTAATACATGTTTGTACATTTGACATGATCTGGCCAGAAGTCAGAAAGTGGTGATTTTAATGCCTGCACTGTCCCCAAACTGCTTCACCTTGTTTGCTTATATCAAAACAATGGTCTGAATTTCTGGCACCAAATGTTTTGGACCACAAAGCCAAATCCGTTCCCATCACCAGGTGTCCCCACATTTTTTTCACATTCAATGCAAGACACATTGTAAAAGAATTTAAATTTAATCTGATTTCTCATTATTCTGTTCAATTTTCAGGAAACCGATATTTCTGCCTCAAATATCTTCCTGGCCAACTTGTCATCACATCCAGCTCCACACTTCGATGCACACAAGTTGGCCAGGAGGATATACCGCATCTATAATGCACACATTTTTGAAAATAAGGTAAGCACGCAGAATTTTCTTTGTCAAGCGAAATGTTTGATGTTGCATTCCCCATGTTATTTCCTGTTACATCCTGAAAGTGCATGATTTTTTTTCTAATCGCTATTTTCTGGCTATTTGTGAATGAAAATCAGCTAAAAAATAAATGGGCTGATAATTATACGGGGTGGATAAAAAAAATATGAACGAGATATTATTGCTAATTGGAGCAGAATTACGGTAGGGCACATGTAAATCAAAGAGAGATATCTTCTGTTAGGGATGAATCTCCACATTTCATTACATGCACGGTTGACTGAGCAGTGACCATGCACTTTTATGAAAGGGTCTATTTAGAGAATTGCGCCACTTTTCACTTGTGGTTTAATTTTGTTGTTTCAATTGTCACAGAGTGAAAGACTATGGTTGCCAATCAAGGCAGGTGGGGAAACAGAGATTTCACAATGAAAAGTGGCGCAAGTCTCTTAATAGACCCTTTCATAAAATTGGTCGCTGCTCAGTCAACCGTGAATGCAAGGACATGATCAGGGTGTCGTTTTAAAGAAGAGATTCAACCCTAACAGAGGATTTCTCCTTTTGATTCACATGTGCCTACAGTACTTCTGTTCCAATTAGCAATAATATCTCGGTTTCGTTTTTTATCAAATCCCTAGGCCTCTTTACTAGGATGTAGCCTGCAATCCTGCCAAATCCTCCAATTGGCCTCATGGAAAAATGGTGACCGCTCTATGTTCCGACACCCCTGTTCCGACAACCTAGATTGTGTTACTCCCGGTTAGGGTTAGGGTTAGGGTTAGGAATAGGAATATGTGCAGTCAGAACATAGGGGTGTCGGAACATAGAGGTGTAACCGGAAAAATAGCATAGCCTCAATCCTGCATATTCCTCCGTTATTTCTTGAATATGGTCCATGGAGGGGTGACCACAGCCTGAATCCTGCAAAATCCTGTGGCAGTAACTGTCAATATGTTCAGGCTTGTTCAGTGACATCCTGGAGTAGTATGGAGGATTTCAAGCATAATCCAGGCCTATATTTATGCATGGCTGAGCAAAAACAACACGAGGTCTGTCCCAAGACCTTGACAAGGTGCATCCTACGAAATCAGTAATGCACTTTTGCCATGTAACCTCAATCCTCCAAATTCCACCACTTTGGCAAAGAGGATTTTGAAGGATTCAGGGCGGTTATAGGGTTAAAACTTTCCGCTTTTCTATCGGACAACATTATTCCATTTAATTTTCCCTGGGGATAGGCAGGTCACGTACTGCTCAACATTTGGAGTGGATTGAGTAGTAGCCATGCAGTCTGCTTGTAAAGTAGATCGGCTTGTAACCACATCAAAAACCCCTTTTCAAAGGTTTCTAAAGTTTTTTCCCTTCACGTATGTACAAGTTTGTACAAATGTATGTGTTATTTTTTTTTCTTTATCCAACTCAGCTACCAAAACTTCCCATGGAATTTGCTGACATCGGATCACGTGCGGGTTTTTTTAGGTCCTGCCTAAAGAATCCAACAGTGGACGGAATATTTTTTTCAAAGGTCTATTGTAACACACCAGGTAGGCACAGCACTGCACTAATTATTGTTCAACCATTTGAGATCATGCAATTATTGTTAATTGGCCATAACACAATCAATATTTATCTGATTCGAAAGATTTATATTTTGCGTCCCCTAAACAAAGTTTTGAGGGACTGTACTGAACTTGTGCTAAAATTATGTATTCACTGTATCTGCATATGACCGTATGTTAAAGTTTAGGTTAAGTTTTGAAAAAAATGTACAACATTTGCTTTTGCTGCAGTTTTTCAGAAATAAATGGATTAGGAGGATTCGTATGTATTATGGCAAATATTGTTAAACTGACCTGTTTGTGAAAAAACATGAAACTAATCATGCTCTTGAAGTCTGGTTCCTAAACCCCACTTAAGATAAAACGGAGCAATTTATAGACTTTGGGGGATTCTAAGGTCAAAGAATCAGTCTAGCAGGCTTGTACCCCTTCTCAGGTGTGTAATCAATTGCAAAGAAAATGGGAATAACTAAATATGAAAAACTAGGAGAAGTTTTGGTCAGCCAGCAAGCGTTGGAAAAATACAGTTTTTCTTGAAAATGTCAGCACACCAGGAGCCACGATTTTACAGGTTGCTTTAGACTGTCTTCCCCAACAATGAACTAAGTAGGCCTAAGGCATTTCATGATACTTTGATCATTTCGTGTTTTGATATTTGCAAATGTTGTATCTTCCCTGAGAAGAAAAAATATATAACTTTAGGGTTCGACCTTAATAATTCACTAGCCAGCGGGGCTACTGAAACAGACTCTCAACTAGCCCTCGGGCATTTTCACTAGCCCGCATGTTGTTCTTTTATAGAGGATCTCTTAAACAACAATGTCCATACATGTAAATCTTGTCAATGTTTTTAATTTAGGTCTAATAATTTAACCCAAAACAAATTATCAAATTAGACACTAATTGATACAGGTTTACTTAGGGAATAGTTTCACTAACCCACCGCTGTTTTGACTAGCATTTGGCTACCACTAAAGTTGAACCCTGCATTTTACATGCTTTCACGGGGCTGGACACCATCTTTCAATTTCAGGGTGCCCTTAAAAGAAACCTTCAGACTATCAAACCTATGGACCATCTTGGGGGGACCCCTTAAATGCAAGCCTGGTTTCACTGCTGTTGTATAGCCATATTGCCGTGTACATCATGTATGCATTGTACCAAAAAACAAACCTCACATGATCTCCCCATTTATCTACTTTTGAAATTAGGTGGACCATCGAGACGTAGAGGTTGGCAAACGAAACAAACAGCAGAGACATGACATGACAAACATGACAGACACATGTAACAGATGGTCTCTAAGCTTAGGCCAAATAAAAAAAAGCATGTTAAGCGTCCCCTCCCGCTTCCTTTATGGAGGCGGCCTTTTCTTCTTTTTCTTTTTCTTTTTACCAAAAAATGATAAATTTTCAACAGTGACATCATTTTGGCCTCTGTCTTTTGCATCCTCCATCCTTTTTTTTTCCAAAAAGGCAGGACGCTGAACATGTTTTTCTTTTTTTATTTGGCCTAAGAGGCTGCTGGGTATTTTTTCCTGTTCTTTTATATTTTTCTATTACTTCGAATGAAAACTGAATTTGGATTTTCCGTTATTTTCTTTGACCCACCCACCCATAATTTAACCAAAAAAAATTATTTTTTTTGTTTGTATTTTGCAACCTTTACTGGAAAATAAATATTTTTCTCTCAACAGCTAGAGTACGAGATGTACTGATCCACGAGATATGCCATGCTGCAGCCTGGTACATCACTGGGACACTTGGGGAGGACAGGCATGGCGCCATATGGCAGATCTGGTAAGCACTTGATATTGTAACAAAGCTTGGCGGTCTAAGGACTTAAGGCCAAACAAAAAATATTCGGTCTCTGGTCAGACCAAAGTTCCGGAATTGACGCGGCCACTTTTTTTTTTTTTTTGCTTTTTTTTTTTTCTTCAAGCTTGGATTGTACACACAAGGTGGCTATTTGGCTTTTTTTGTGTCCTCATGTACATTGGTGTCCTCCATAATTTGCCTAGGTGCTTTCGATCATTTGCCTTGGTGCAATTTCCCATTCCTTGGTGCTCTTTGGTAAAAAAAAATGAGGAGGTGCGGAAATAGAGGGCGCTGTTCGAGCTACCACGGATCATTTTGGGAAAAAAAAGATCAACGCGCATGATTAAAATCGACGCGCACGCTGACCAGAGACCGACTTATTTTTTTTTGGCCTAAAATAGGAATGGCTTCATCTCACGACCAAGTTACTTTCAATTCCTAGTCATTTTCTGAGACTCAAGGAAACCAAGATATGACTACGTTTTCCCATTTCTAAAGTATTTCTTATTCTCAAGACTTCCTGTTTCCACCAGTATATAAGTGCTGCTCCACTAGCAGTACCTCATTCAATGTTTCAATTCCATTTCTATTCTAGTCTATTTCAGTTCACCCAGTTCTCTTTGTCTTAGTTCACTGTAACCATGTCCTTCCTCCGTGCTGTAACCAGTTCAATCAATCAATGTGTATTAAAATATTGTTGTGGAATAAACAGTCACGGTAAGCACAGTCCTCAACCAAATTGTGTATCGACTCATCCATTCCCCCAAAAATTGGTGACCCAGAGAACAGTGAAAACAAAAAATTGGTTATCCAGTGAACCTGACAATTGAATTTCATCAAAACTGAACTGCTGCTTTATTGCTGAACTACATGTATGACTACTCCCAGTACCAGCACCACTGTTAATCCGCCCATAGCTGCGGTTAGTTTAAAATTGCCACCGTTTTGGCCAAATGACCCTCTCATTTGGTTCATGGAATTCGAGGCCCAATTTTTAACTCGTGGTGTTACTTCAGAGGAGATGCGTTACGCATATGTAATCTCTTCTCTTCAACCCTCCATCGCACAAGAAGTGCGGGACATTCTCATCAACGCGCCTTCCACCCAGCCCTACACAACACTGAAGGAGGAGCTAATCAAGCGAACATCTGAATCGGGGAAGAAACGACTACAGAAACTCCTGACAACTGAAGAGTTGGGGGACAGGAAACCATCCCAACTTCTGCGCAAAATGCAACAGCTGCTTGGTGAGTGCAAGTTGGAGACATCCATCTTCAAGCAACTGTTTCTCCAACGCCTGCCTGGCAAGGTTCAACTTGTGTAGGCCTCCACCACCGATGATGTCAACATTGAGCAGTTGGCTAAACTGGCCGACAAAATTGTGGAAGTTACACGGTAACAATTGGGGAGAGTTCACCTTCACAGGCTACACAATTTCAACAACTGGCTGAACAAATCACCCTGCTCCAAGCACAGGTTTCTGCCTTGTCCAGTCAACCTCAGCGTCGTAGCCGCACCCATTCCCGTGATCGCCATTGACGCAACCGCAGTCCATCTCCCGATACTCTCTGCTGGTATCATCACAAGTTTGGTGCTGATGATCATAAGTGCACCAAATCCTGCTCTTTCACTGCACATGCATCCTCGTCTTCGGGAAACGGCCCAGCCAGCAACTAGCGGCGACAAGCTCTACTGGCCCGTCCTCATCTAGTCGCCTATTCTATGTAACAGACAGAGCAACACACCAGCAATTTCTCATAGACCAGGAGCAGAGGTAAGCGTCATACCCTGTTCCTCTCGTGAACGTACTCACCGTCGTCACGGTCAAGATCTCCAAGCAGCCAATTCTTCAGCAATTGCTACTTACAGAGAAAGATCTTCGACTCTTGACATTGGACTCGGTTGGCCATGCCGCTGGGTTTTCATTGTTGCTGATGTCCAACATGAAACCATAGGCGCTGATTTTCTGCGACACTTCACCTTCCTTGTTGATCTTCACCCATCATGACAGGTCACACATCATGACAGGTCAACCTACTGCTGCACGTCCATGCCCTCTTGCACCGGACCGTCTTAAAGTAGCGAAAGACGAGTTTCAACAAATGATGGACTTGGGCATCATTCGTCCATCGGACATTAACTGGTCATCTCCACTTCACATGGTCCCCAAGAAACAACCTGGCGACTGGCGACTGGCGACCGGCGACCATGTGGAGACTATATCTCGGACTCAATCACGCCACTGTGCCTGACCAATATCCTGTTCCGCACCTCTAAGATTTCGCCGCATCCCTACACGGTATGACAGTATTTTCGAAGATTGATCTTGTCCGTGCTTATCATCAAAATCCAATGGCACCTGACTCAATCTCGAAAACGGCCATCACTACTCCCTTCGGACTATTTGAATTTGTCCGCATGCCATTTGGATTACGCAACGCTGCCCAAACATTTCAGCGATTCATTGATGAAGTCACTCGTGGACTTGATTTTTGCTACGCTTATACATTGATGATCTGTTGGTCGCTAGAACAGATGCTGACCAGCACGCACAACATCTCCGCCTACTGTTCGATTGTCTCAGTCAGTACTGAGTCATCATCAACCCTGCAAAATGTCCGTTTGGAGTGAACTCACTTGAGTTCCTCGGACACCAAGTCGACTGCCATGGGGTCTGTCCACTCGCAGAGAAGGTCAGTCACAGTAATCTTGAACTTTCCTCAACCTTCTACACTGACAAAACTGACAGAGTTTCTTGGACTTTTTAATTTCTACCGCCGCTTCATCCCAAGGTGCTCTCAGGTCCTTCATCCTCTCACAGCTCTGCTGGCTAACACTGGAAAATGTCAGCACCAATCACATTCAATGATGCAGCTACAGCCTCATTTGAAGAAATCAAAGCTGCTCTCGCAAACGCTACCCTCCTTACACATCCCAAGCCAGATGCTCCGCTGAGTGTCATGACGGATGCTTCGGATGTTGCAGTAGGAGCTGTTCTTCAATTATGGGTAGATGATTCATGGCAGCCAATCTCATTCTTCTCCAAAAAGCTCCAACCAGCCGAAACGCGCTACAGAACCTTTGGACAAGAACTCTTAGCTGTGTATCTTACCATTCGCCATTTCCGTCACTCGCTCAAGGGTCGAGAGTTTCACGTGCTCACTGATCACAAGCCCCTCACATACACTCTGTCAGCATCAATGGACAGACATTCCCCACGTGAGATTCGCCATCTTGATTTTGTTTCACAATTCACTTGTGACATAAGATACGTCAAAGGTGATGACAACCCTGCCGCGGACGCTCTTTTGCGTATCGAGCTCAACTCCCTCAGCCCAGAGCAGTCGCACACACCCATCGATTTCAACAAGATGGCTGAATTACAATGACAGTGTGATGAACTCCAACAACTTCGTCAATCCTTATCTTCGCTGTCTTTCAAAGATGTGCCACTCCCATCATGTGGCACGTACGACCCTTACCTGCGACATGTCCACGGGTAATCCACGACCATTCGTCCCAAATGACTTGCGACGTCAGGAATTAAGTGCATTTCATTCCTTGTCACACCCTGGTATTCGTGCTACTCAACACCTCATCACAGACCGCTACATGTATGTCTGGCCAAGTATCAACCGCGATGTAAGAAATTGGACAAAATCTTGCATACAGTGTCAGCGAGCTAAAATCCATCGTCACACCGCTGCACCACTTTCCAGTAAGGCCCAAGTGCTCGATTTGATCATGTACACATAGATCTAGTTGGTCCTTTGCCACCTTCCAATGGATGCTGTTACATCCTGACTTGCATTGATCACTTCACGCGATGGCCAGAAGCCATCCCACTGCCTTACATCACAGCAGAAACAGTAGTCCGTGCTTTCATCACTAGATGGGTTGCTGCATTTGGTGTACCATCTACCATCACAACTGATTGTGATACTCAGTTCGAATCAGCCCTTTTCAGCGCTCTCACCAATATGCTCGGTACCAAACGCATCCGCACCACAGCATACCACCCAATCGCGAATGGACTTGTCAAGAGATTCCATCGCCAACTAAAGACGTTGATAAAGGTGCAGTTCAATCCTAACAACTGGACAGAAACACTACCGCTTGTTCTTCTTGGGATCCACACAGCAGTCAAATCCGATTTCCATCACAGTGTTGCTGAACTCGTATATGGCACTACCCTTCGCTTACCTGGCGAATTTTTCGAATTCATCACACAGTTTGGCAGGTTCTGCTTCAATCACTTGCCATTTGGCTTATCGTCAGCACCCAAGCTGTACCAGAGAATCATGAGTGATCTGCTGGTCTACATGGACGATGTTCTCGTCACGGGCGCTACACTGCAGGAACATGATGCACGTCTTCGTCATGTTCTCAAAATCCTCCAAGGAGCTGGGTTGAGGCTTAACAAGGACAAGTGCAAAACTGCACAAGAACAGGTGAATTTCCTCGGCCATCGACTTAGGAAGAAAGTAAGGAAGAAATTCATCCTGACCCTGCCAAAGTAGACGCGATCCTGCAATTGTCGCCGCCTACAACGAAGGAGGAAGTCAAACGTCTGATAGGGATGGTGAACTGGCTTTCTCGCTTCATACCCCATACAGCCTCTGTAGCCGCACCGATCAACAACCTGATGAAAGATGACACAGAGTGGACTTGGGGTCCAGCACAACGCACCGCGTTTCAACAACTGAAGAGTCTGCTAATGACTACCCAACAAAGCCAACAATGGTCAGTGCTGATGCCAGCAGTTACGGCATTGGTGGTTACATCCTTCAGAAGCAGGAAAATGAGTCCTGGAGGCCAGTAGCAAACTGCTCCCGAAGTCTGACGCATGCAGAACAACGTTATGCACAGATCGAAAAGGAGCCACTGACTGATGTCTGGTCATGTGAGCATTTCTACATCTAACTCCGTGGTCTACGAGTAACACTCCAGACAGACCACAAAGCCAATTGTGTCCTAAATCAACCAGAACTGAGGACTTGTGTGATGCTCCCCTGCGTTGCCAACGACTTCTGATGAGACTGATGAAGTACAACTGCTATGCAGACTACACCCTGGGTAAGAACCTGGTTGTGGCCGATGCACTCTCACGAGCCCCTTTCCATCATGACAAAACGACAGAGTCCAATGACGAGTTGGAAGATGAGATCGAAGCCCATGTTCACCTGATCACATCCCAGTGGCCCGCATCTGATGCGAAACTGCCCACGACCGTACCCTGAGTGCAGTCATCTCTCTCTTCAAAGATGGGTGGCCGAAGTACATGTACCAGAAAGATGTTGAGCCAGAATTGAGACAGTTCTTGGATGACCAGGCATGGTGACCTCATTGTGATACCACTGAGCCTGAGACAACAAATGTTGCAGAGAATCCACGAGGGTCATCAAAGCAACTCGAAAAGCCGTCTCCAAGCGAATCAGGCTTTGTGGTGGCTTGGTATGAATACCGACATAGCCCAGCATGTCCAGTCTTGCCCACATTGCCAGGATATGCAACCATCACAACGAGCCGAGCCCATGTTGTCTATACAACTACCACAGAGACCATGGCAGCAAATTGCCTGTGACCTAGCAGAGGTGAAGGGGAAAATGTACCTTGTGCCAGTAGACTACTATTCTCAATGGATAGAGTTACATCACCTTCACTCGACAACAGCCAAATCTGTGATTAACTTCATGAAGGTGACATTCGCTAGATACGGCATTCCTGAAGTGGTGGTGACTGACAACGGTCCACAGTTGTCATTTTCATTCTCACGCAAGTACGCGATGTGAAAACAGACGTGATCGCACATGGCGACCTAGGTACGAAAATAGGTCGTAATTTATATTTGTTTGAACCCATTTCCAAATGACTTCTCATCTATTCTGAGGCAATTTTGTCTGTGTTTTTAATAAACATATTTTTCCTTTCAAACAGTTGATGAAGTTATACACAAATTGATACAGGTTTGCTTTCTGAATTTAATGATTTATTTCTTCCTGTCCTTTCATCTATGCTATAGCCCAATAATTTTTTTGACTCATCTGCCAGGCTTCGCTAATCCCCACTGGAACGCATTTGTCAACTGTGGTATGCCGTGGCACACGGCCAATGGGTAGTTCTACAGCTGCTGATGCGTGTCACTTGCTCTATGTATGGAGGAATATCCCCATTACTCCCAGTCCTTAAGGGGTTAAGGAATAGTTTGACTAGCTGGCCGCCGTTTTGACTAGCATTTGGCTAGCAGGCTATCGCTAATTTTGAACCCTGAAAATACCAAAATATGGGAATAAATATACACCAGGTATTAACAATTTATGCAAATTAGGCAACCTTCCCCAAAAAAGAAAAATTCAGGTGTTACCCCTACTATTAATATCTTTTTTAGAGCTATAAGAATATATTGCCAAATTTGGTGCTTTGGATCAGTCGGTCACCATTCCAACCATTTGCCACATGACTATTAACACAACTCATGATAAAGGTCACTGTAGTTACATGTATAAAACAAGGTGCCAAAAGGACCAAAAATCCATGATTTTAGCCAAAAACACATGTTTTTGACCCAAAATCACACTTAACTACATTTTAACTCATTGGCACACCATGCAAATGAAAGATTTTGTTGTCCCCTGTAATTTGAAACCACATTTGATGTTGTAATGCTTGTAATTTGGCAGATTTCGTACAGTTTGCATTTTCCCGTCGTGGTCACTTTTGCGAGGAATTGCCCATTTTGTGCATTGGTGCTGTGTGTAATTTTATTTGACATACACAACGTGAATCAACATCTCTGAAAAGATCCGTTTTCTGGATGAAACTCAAGATGGTGTACATGCAGAATTAACCAGCTTTCAAAGTACATAATTATGTTTCTAGTTCAAGGTTTTTCCTCTCCTTTTTATTTATCATACAGGACAAGGACTGCTAGTTCTCGATTTCCAGCCCTGCCACCAATTACAGAAAAGGTCTACTGTGTAAGTTATTAAACCTGGCTTCTATAATTAGCAAATAATTTAGACCAACTAATACACTATATATGAACATCTTCATCCCTCAAAAATTTTGTTAAAGAGCCATTTTCCCTTGAAATTACAGTTCTACATTTTCACGGATTTTTCAACATATAAGCCAGATTAGTAGACCCAGCTAGTGCACCGTTATGTATAACCAATGACAATTCTCAGTGGCCAGGGTCATTAAAAAAACGTGAAAATACCCTTACAAGATTAGTCCTATGTAAACCCCATGTAAATGTCCGTGAAGCATCTCTTAAAGATTCTTTTCACGGAGAAATGGACTTTTAATGAATTTTTAAGGGATGAAGATGTTCATAGTATATACTGGTCAACTTATAGGAAATTTAGTCATGTAAGCCTATAACAATGGCAACAGAATAATAGACTGAGCGACCACAGTGGATGACGGACTAGGCAAACTTTACATATCTTTCATTTGGATTTGGATGAAATTATCCTTATTTATTCCTATAAAAACATTTGCATGACACATTATTAGCAGGGCTCCTTTCCACAGCAGTGGAAAAAATAGGTATCATCCATAAAATGTTGAAGTCTTACAATTAATGTATGTCTTATTTTGGACTAAAAGACATCTTTTTCTGACGACAAAAAGACATTGTTTTTTGACAACTAAAAACATCTTTTTTCTGACAACAAAAAAAGGGTTTTTCAGACAAAAAAAGGTGTCATTGTCTGCAGACTTAAAATCATCTTAATGGAGTACTGAAGTGTGACGTCATTTAGAACCAGAAAGTGTTGTGCAAACGAATGGAATACGCATGCGTGTTGATTCTCGGTCAGTCATGCGCTAATTTCTTTTACACGCATTTTGTGCGCGTGACGTATTCACTTCGGTACTCCATAATACCCTAAGAAAGTCTTTCTGGCCACTAAATAATGTCTTTATGAGGACGTCTCAGTTGGTACTATTCTATTTTCATGGTATAGATATGTGTACATTACATGCATATGCTGTATGTACTCTAGAATGATATGTGTACATGTGAGGGAGGGGGCATATAATTATGGAAACGTGGTTTGCGGGGGGAACACGTACGACAATAAGGTCAAAAAAAAAAAAACAGTTGGTCTCTGGTCAGCGTGCGTGTCGATCTTTTTTTTTTCCAAACTGTTCTGCGGTAGCTCCAACGGCGCCCTCTATTGCCGCACCTCCTTAAATTGTTTTACCAAAGAGCACCAAGGAATGGGAAATTGCACCAAGGCAAATGATCGAGGGACTAAGGCAAATTATGGAGGACACCAATGTACATGAGGACACCAAAAAAAGCAAAATAGTACCCCACCTTGTCTGCATGTACAATCCAAGCTTGAAATAAAAAAAAGGAAAAAAAGAAGAAGCTGCGTCGCCGAATCAATTCCGGAACTTTGGTCTGACCAGAGACCAGTGAAAAATAAGTCTGAGATGTTCTCGTCTTGCTTTCCATGACATCACACCACACGAAAATTGAAACCACTTGCGTGCATGAAAGCAGTATGGTACCCACATACATTGGCACACTATATTCGATTGTCAAACGTCACACACAAAGTCACTGCACTATGCACAACATGCACGACAGCCGTGGTACTGGACAGTTTTTCCGGAGAAACCACCGAAATCGTCAAAACTGTTCATATTTTAGTCACTTTTGTTCTGTTTGAAGTTGATCATAAGCTTTGTGAATGACTGTTGCATGAGGTATGTGGAATCTGTCGGTTGGGATGATAGAGGAATATGTGCACTGGGACAGGGTCCCATTTTTTAGGGACTCTTACAAACTAGTTTCTACAACTTAGTTTTAGCTCTAATGTAATGGGCATTGGAGCTGGAGTTACTCAAGCTACTGACTACCTTTATGTACATTGTTTCCCCTGTCAATTATGCGGTGTCCTCTAAATCGGTGAAACAAAGCGTCGTTTGACTGACCGATACACTGAGCACCTTCAAAGTGTCCAACTTCATCTCCCTGTAAGTGGGCTTGTGGAAGGCCATATGCCTTTTTGGGGTGCATTCTTTGAAACTCTCAGGATCACTTAAATATATTGTCAGACTTCATAAAGCTACGCGCTCCTATTTCTTCGCACTTGCCTTTAAGTTACATTTTGCAAGGCGTGCATCCTAAAAATGACATACTTTCACTGGGATCGTAATCCCGTATCCTTTGATGAACCAACTTTAACCAGCAGCCAACAAAATGTGGAATTCAGGCAAAAAATGAAAAACATCGGCATTTTACAGCTAATTACTAAGTACAAATGCAGGCAGATGCTTTCGGGCCTGCATAAGTCATAATATGACCGAAAGATCTCCCAATATTGTCAGCATTATAATTAAGGCCAAAAAAAAAAGTCTCCGTTGAGTTTAGTTGAGAGCCGGGGCCCATGCATTTCAGGTAATCAGGTATACATTCTTTGAAAGTCTCAGGATCACCAATTGACACCTCAACATGTCCACACTGTCCTTAATAGGGTTGCCATTTTGAATCTCCAAATGGCAGCCATTTGTGGTACACATGTATTAAAATTGACAAAATAATCGACTTTTGAGACATCTATGTTTTGATCTTTATTATTGCATCCAGGCTGAATGCAAAGTTGACCTCTTTGACAGTAGGCCCTACACTCAAATTGTAACAGCCATTTTGAACTTCAAAATGACCGCGACTTACAGTTTATGTTAAAGATACTATTGACCTTTCTTCGCTTGGTTGGCGACCTGCATTTTTGCCAACCACGGGTTGCAAAACTAGCTATGGAAGGTCCAACACTGCAAAAATGAAAACGAGTTATTACAGATAACCAAAATATTATTTGATTGTTGGAAATACAACATTGTCAACAAAGCTACAACATTATGCTTTTTTACTTTGTATTGAAGGCGTTATGGGGACTTTTTGGGGAAAAACATGTTGCCAACCACGACTGCAATTTATGCGCTTGCGGCAGCCCATATAAAATGACGCCAATGGTTACAAACAAAAGAAAGGTCTACATGTATTTTGCACTTATTGGAAAAAGTCTCAAAAATAACAAGGTTCAATAAGTCAAAGAGCAAAGTTATCAAGCTTAGATGATTAAGCGAATGAAATATAAATCACTTGTAATTGGACACAAGTTTGATGAGGCATTTGATATCCATGACCTTACTCAGAAAAAAAACCAGCTTGAGCCCCATCCATGTATTTATCCATAGTTTCACAAGTTAAATCCAGGTTTGGATTTAACTTTAATTTAACCCAAGATTTGTTTTATTTAGTACTTTTAAAAATGGCATTTTATTGAATATACATGTAAATGCATGTACCAAATGTATCATAATGATTAGTGCTACCTCCAGATTAAGGAAAACTTGATAACCCAGGCATCTTTCAATCTGTAACCTTTCAATTTTTCACATGGGAAAAGTAGTCAAAGTCAAAGTACAGTGAAATCTCGATAAGTCAAACCTCAAGGGAACAGGTTCAAACTTTGACTTAAGCAGAGTTTTGAGTTAAGCAGGGTTGTATAAATATATCATTGTAATACTACTGAGGGGAATAGATTCTTTCTTTGACTTAAGAGTTGTTTTGACTTATCAGAGTTTGACTTATTGAGATTTCATTGTAATTAGGATTGTTTAATGCAGACATTTTTTATTTAATTTGAACTGGTAACATGCTATCCTGGAATATTATTAGTCATTTTATAAGGACCGGGGGAACTTTTGCAAAAACTGGGACCAAGCCACAATATCAACGCTTGTCCAGCCAAGCTTGAGGGGATCCGGATAATAGGAGGGAGAAATAAATCCAGCTCCCAAACAGATGCTTGGCAGTACATGTATTCATTTAAGATGAGTTTCTTCCATTGCATACAGCTTGGGCAACGTGACTAACATGACTGCATGATATATCGACATTTGAATTGCTAGCAGTGTAACAGCGATAACGCGGTTACAGCCAAATAGTCCGAAGGTTCAATAGTCCGAAGGTTCGATAATCCAAAGGTTCGATAATCCGAACAGATTATAAGGTTTGATAGTCCGAATAGATGATAAGGTTCGATAGTCCGAATAGCCGATAGGGTTCGATAGTCCGAATTAACAATAAGTTTCGAGAGTCTGAATTGAGAATAAGGTTCGATAGTCCGAATGGGCGTACGGTTCGTCAGTATGACACTTCGGACTATTGGACCTTACCGTTGATTCGGACTATCGGACCTTATTGTCGATTCGGACTATCGGACCTTGTAGTCTTTTCGGACTATCAAACCTTATTGTCAATTCGGAATAATGAACCTTTGGACTTGTAGTGGTTAGCTACATAAATAAGAATGCAACAACTCAACCCTATAGTTCGTCTTTTGGACACCGACGACGAAGTCGAAGCACTCAAGGTAATTATACGCGAGTGTATAGCAATCCAATGGAGGCGAGCACACGCGGAGTCCGTGGGGGCGAGTTGGCCTGCGAAAGTGCTTCTCGATTTCACAAGAAAAAGTCTCCCTCAAACGAGGTGAGTTCGCTCGAGGATCGTCAACTGCACGATTCAAAATAAAGTACAATAAAAACTGGATACAGCTGTACAAATGCTGATACTTTCAGCAAGTTCCGAGCTGGAATAAATCACGGAGAAAGTTCCGATAACTGTGAATGACTTTCACCACGCGGTGACACGAGAACAAAAGATGGCTGACCCAACACGCTTTTTAGCATAAGGTCAAAGTTGAAAAGGGCACCACATTAGCCCCCTCCCAGATAGTGAATTGGGTAAAAAGGAATGAACCAGCGATAGAAAAAAAAATGTGAGGTTCAGCCAATGTCATTAACTTCCACATAACGCTTGGGCCAACGGACATGACGCCCTGACTTGGTTGTCCTGGTGACGGGTGGTGTTTGAGGTGATGCTGGGAGTTGAGGTGTTACTGGAAGTTTTGAAGGTGGTGCTCGTGGTGGTGAGTAAGTGTTGGCATGTGCAGGAACATCCTGTACGGCTTGGTGAGTGCCGGAGGAGTTAGAGGTGGTTGTACTCTCATCAGTAATAGCTTCTGTGTATGCCACTTTAAGACGATCAATGCTGACTTGCTCGCGCTTGTTGGAAATAGACACAGTGAAATGTTTGTCGTTGCGGCCGAGTACAAGGAAAGGTCGGTTGTAAGGGGGCTGCAAGGGCTTACGGACGGCATCACAGCGGACATAAACATGTGTACACGACTGCAGATCTTTCGGGATGTGAACAGCAGTGCCTGTGACGCGTGTCCTTGCTGGTGAAAGTTGAGCCATGTGATGTTGTAGTTGATCTACGAATGAGCTGCAATCAAGCAGAGTGGTATCTTTGGCAGGGTCAACAAACTGGCCCGGAAGACGCATTGAAGTGCCGTAAACCAGTTCAGCAGGAGAGCAAGCGATGTCAGACTTGACCGTAGCACGAATGCCCAGCAGTGTGATGGGTAGGTACTCAGTCCATCGAGATGGGTCGAGATGAGACTTCAGAGATGCCTTGAGCTGACAGTGAAAGCGTTCTACCACACCGTTTGACTGTGGGTTATAAGAGGTGGTTCGAATGCGAGTACTGCCAAGAAGTTTGGTGAGGGATGTGAACAGTGCTGACTCGAATTGACGTCCCCTGTCTGTAGTGATGGATGCTGGCATTCCGAAAACAGAGATCCATCTGTCTACGAATGCTTTGGCTACTGACTCGGCTGTGATGTCACTGATAGGGATTGCTTCAGGCCACCGTGTGTATCGATCTATGCAGGTATGCAGGTATGAGAAACCATTGGATGATGGTAGCGGTCCAACCAGGTCAATATGGACGTGTTGGAAATGGGCATCAGGCATCTGGAAGGTGCCCAACGGTGCTTTCGTATGACGATGAATTTTTGACTGTTGACACGGAGAACATTCCCGAGCCCATTTGCGTACATCGCGCTTGACATCTGGCACCAGGGTGGGATAAGCCATGAATGGCATTGAAAACAGGCCGTCTGTATCCTGCAGGCACGACTGGGCGTGGGTTCCCAGTGGAAACATCGCAAAGTATAGTGCCATTGGCAGTTGGAAGGGGGAGGTCCTTGAGAACGAGGCTGGAAGTGGAGTTTTGCAAGCCTGCAATCTCTTTATCCTCCTTCTGGTCTGCTGCAATCTGGCTGAAATCGATTGTTGTGTCCTGGAAGATCGCAGCGACATCGGGTCGGGACAGTGCATCAGCGACTACATTATTGGTGCCCTTGATGTGGCGGATGTCTGAGGTGTACTGCGATATGTAGTCCAGATGACGGATCTCACGAGGAGAGTGTCGGTCAGGCCTGGAATGCAGAGCATGAGTGAGTGGTTTGTGGTCAGTGAAGACACAGAACTGACGACCCTCAAGCATGTGTCTGAAGTGTCGTATGGTCAGGTACATTGCGAGGAGCTCTCGACCAAAAGCACTATACCGTGACTCAGTTGCTGTCAGCTTCTGGGAGAAGAAAGCAATGGGTTGGGACTCTCCCAGATAACCTTGCTGAAGGACCCCGCCAACTGCAGTGTCGGATGCATCAACTGTGACGCTTAACGGCAGGGTGGTGTCGGGATGAACGAGCAGCGTAGCACTGGATAGGGCTGCCTTGATGTCCTGGAAGGCCTGTTGGTGACGAGGATCCCAAGTAAGTGGCTTGCGAGGCTGGTTGTTGTGAGTTGCGAGGAGGTCATTCAGTGGGGCAAGGATGCGGGCACAGTTGGGGATGAATCTCCTGTAGAGGAAACCTCTCAACTTCTTCAGTGAAGTGGGTTGCGGAAAGTCCTGGATCGCAGAGACCTTGTCTGCGAGCGGACGAATACTTTGCTTGTCTACATGGTGTCCGAGGAATTGTAGCTCTGACACTCCAAAGGTGCATTTGCTGGTATTGATCACAATTCCGTAGTGCTGTAACCGGTCGAAGAGCAGACTGAGATGTTCCTCATGCTGCTCTGGCGACTTGCTGGCAACGAGTATGTCATCCATGTAAACGTACACGAATGAGAGTCCACGGACGACCTTGTCCATGAAACGCTGGAAGGTCTGGGCAGCGTTTTGCAAGAAGGAAACCTCTCAACTTCTCAACTGCCCCAGTGTCTACTAGGAATTTCCGTTTGTGGAAAGAGTCATTGATGAAGAACAAGCGGCCAGGTTGGGTACCAGGTGGAAGTGCCGCGCCTATCCCCTGGTGGGTTCGTTTCCCTGCTGGGTGGTGTAGGAGCAAGGCTGGACACATTTATGGGCCTCAGCACCGAAACGGCGATGGTACCAACACAATGTTTGTGTGGTCGCGGTGTCTGAGGGTGCTGATGATTGGTCACGGCTGGCACTGCGTGGGCGGATACGACTCTGGCTACGAGAACGGGACTGGTGTTTTAGTTGCGCCTGCATGGAGCTCACTTGCATGGTGAGTTTGGAGATCTAGTCACGCAGCTCAGCAAGTTCCCCAGACGAGGAGGGAGCCGGTGTAGTCACAACGTTGACCGAAGGGACGTAGACCTCAAGGATGCGATCAGCGAGTGCAGCAAACTGGTCTAGCGACACTGAGTCCCTGGATGAAGCAACGACAAGCTGTGCATTGGAAGGGAGCCATTGTAGGAAGAGTTGCTTGAAAATTCCCGCTTCTAGTTTGCGTTCACCCATTAGTTGACGCATGCGACGCAATAACTGCGAGGGTTTCTTGTCACCTCACTCTTCTTCGGTGAGTAGTATCTGCAGCCGTTTTTGCTCAGAAGCTGATGTACGTTTAATCATTTCTTCCTTGAGCTTCTGATACGGGTTGTCCTTGGGAGGATTGATCACCAAATCGCGGCCTTCTTGAATAATCTCAGGTTGCATCGCAGCCAAAATGTGGGCAAATTTGGTGTCTTCACACTTGATTCCCCAGGTATGGAATTGTACTCCCGCTTGCGCAAACCGAATGAGGGGATCTGCTGGACAGAAGGGGGGTGAGCTTGATGGACAGTGCTCCAATTTGTGGCTTATCCTCTGGCATGTCTGATTGATCAACAGTTTTGGATGATTCATCCTTTTCAATGCTCATGATGCTGGCGAAAATTGCAAGGTGGTGCAAGAGAAAACCAGTTGTTGGGCTTAAAATGTCACCTAATATCGAAGGTGTAGCTCTTGATGTCAGGGTCACCAAATGTAGTGGTAAGCTACATAAATAAGAACGCAACAACTCACCCTATAGTTCGTCTTTTGGACACCGACGACGAAATCGTAGCACTCAAGGTAATACGCGAGTGTATAGCAATCCAATGGGGGCGAGCACATGCGGAGTCCGTTGGGGCGAGTTGGTCTGCGAAAGTGCTTCTCGATTTCGCGAGAAAAAGTCTCCCTCAAACGAGGCGAGTTCGCTCAAGGATCGTCAACTGCACGATCCAAAATAAAGTACAATAAAAACTGGATACAGCTGTACAAATGCTGATACTTTCAGCAAGTTCCGAGCTAGAATGAATCACGGAGAAAGTTCTGATAACTGTGAATGACTTTCACCACACGGTGACATGAGAACAAAAGATGGCTGACCCAGCAGGCTCATTAGCATAAGGTCAAAGTTGAAAAGGGCACCACATACTATTGAACCTAATTTTCGTTTTGGACTATTGAACCTTCAGACTGATTACCTTATTTTAAATTTGGACTATCGAACCTTCGGATTAATGAACCTTCAGACTTTTGAACTTTCGGATTAATGAACCTTCGGACTATTGCATCAAATGTTCGGATTAACGAACCTTATTTCATTTTCGGACGACTTACGAACCCCCTTTTATGGAAATTTTGTGCATTCGGACTATTGGACCTTCGGAGTAAAGAAGCTTCGGACTATCGGACCTTCGGACTATCGGGCGGCCCCCGATAAGGCTACACAAGTTGTGATACAATCATACAGATACACCTACATGGTACCCAAAAACAAGTTACCACTTTTTCAGATGCAGATTTCTAAAAACTGTGGAGACATTATAACTTGAGCTTGATAAGTTATTGTTTTTTGATTTATTGAACTTTGTCATTTTTAGACTTTTTCCCATGGCAAATAGTAAAAATGGCAGCTATTTTGAAGTTTAAAATGACAAGTACAGTTTGAGTGTACTGTCAAGGAGGTCAGCATTGCATTCAGGATACAATATCAAAGATCATTCAAAACATAAATGTCTCGAAGATCGATAATTTTTGTTGTTGTTGTTGTTGTTGTTGACATTTTGGCCTCCTTGTCTGTTGCATCTAGCCCATATATTCCTGAGGCTAAGTGGCAGCCCGGTTGGGTGGCCATTTTGGAAGGGGAAAAAAGGGCCTCCTTTTTTCAAAAATGCAGGACGCTAAACCTTTTTTTTTTGGCCTTTTTGTGTACAGTACAATATGTAGGATAGATCTTTATAATGGCTGCCATTTGGAGATTCAAAATGGAAACTCTATTAAGGATGGTGTGGACTTGTTGAGGTGTCCATAGGCGATCCTGAGAGTTTCAAAGAATGTATACCTGAAATGATGGGCTCCCGTAAGCCCACTTTTCGAATATGCCCTCTTTTTATGAAAAACGTGACACACCCCCAAAAGGGAACAATATTTTTATTTTTTAGATAAGCATTCTGTCCACCCAATTTACTTTAATGAATGGAAACACAAACCAAAAAACCAAAACATATTTCTGTTACAGCTTGATTTCTGTTAACATGGTAAAAATGATGACATTTGCCCCCTGCTTTTATAAAATGTGGCCCCACCCCCGAAAAGGCAAAATTCTGGATTTTTTTTTATCTCTCCTTGATGATGTAGCTCTTGGGTGAGCTGTCCAAATGCTCAAACTCAAAGAAAAGTGAAATTATTGTTATCATTTTTTTTGTGCACGAAGGCCCCCCACTTTTTAAAGCCATGGCCCGCCCATAAAAGGTAAACAAAATGGCATCAGGTGGTTTTGAACTCCTTGAGGTATCTTTTAGTGATTCTGAGAGTTCAAAAGAATGTACCGGACATTGCATATAAGAGGTTATTTTCGACCGTGAGCCCATGACAGGGCAACAGTGTCCAAGTAGTGTAAATGACATGCGCGTGTGTCTTCCTAACCTACATGACCTGCATTTTAGTCTTGTTCTTGTTGTTTCTTTCTTGGCATCTTGGCAATCTATGTGCCCTTTGTGACAGTTTCTGTAGATCTAGTGGTAAACTTGAACTGTTGAAGTCATATCATAAGCAGGAATAATTGGTGAGGTGACTGAGGTCTCAAAGTCCCGGTGTTTCCAACGATTCTGCCTTTCTGGAAAGTGGAATAACTTTTTTATTCACTGTGCTGCACCATTCCATGAACCATCGCTGTTAAAGAGCGCCCTCTCCTGACGAAACGCTTACATCCATGAACCGCATTATTGTTTGGATGAAAAAGGTTTCGTGATATTCTTTAAACACATTGACCAAATTTAATAGTTTTATCCGCTAAAAGTAGCTTATGAAATTGGCTTTCCAGTCATTATTATTTTGGTGCTATTTGTTTAAATATGAAATATAATTTTTAGGGCTTTGGGTTCCACTTTTGTTTTTACTCACCCTGTATTTAGAATGCTTTGAAGCTTTGCTTTGAAGCTCACCTTTTATTTGGAATGCTATTTCCATACTGTATGCTATCAAGCATGCTATGTATATGGACTGT